TACGCTGATCACAATGTATGCTGGCCTTTGTGTGAATCGCTTTGTCGTGACTGATTGATACTAACCAATTTCTTAGTTTCCTCGAATATTATGGTCGATGGGTTCTCTTCGATCCCGAGTGTGAGCCCAGCGAGCTTCTCCGCCGAGTGAAAAAATCGAGTTTGCTATTCTGCGCTTGTTCTCTGATCGCCGTGCGGCACACTTCTGAGGACTTGGCTGCGAGCCTTGCTCCGAAGTTGTATGAGCACGCCCGCTCTCTAGCTTCTACTACGCTTCTAGTTACCCCGCAACCTATTGAGTTTTTCCAGGCTACCCTGATTCTGTCTATGTGGTCGACGACTGTCGGACAGGTGCCTTTGAGTATCGATAGCTGGCTTCTGAGCGGTTTCGCCCTACAGCACTCCCATTCGAGTCCACTCTTTACCGCTGTTACAACTCAATCTCATCCTCCAAACAGATTGGATGAGGAAACCATGGGTCATTGCTATCTATGGAATCATCTCTGTCTTGCTCATATGCATTATTGTGTTGGAACCAGCCGTCGATCCATGCTACAACCCTGGCAAATCGAGCGATGTCGTGCTATCATTATTTCAGATCATGCGATAAATTTTGAAGTTCGCATGGTGGCCGAGATCTATCTTTACTGGACTGTATATGAACACCTCATTCAGGAATCAGTTGATTTGCTGAAATCCGTGGCAGCTTTGCAGACCTGGCGACGAAAATGGGAATTTGTTCTCGGTATGTTATTTTTGGCTTGTATTACCTCAATTCTTCTAATCAATTTTGCGATCAGAGCAACCGAGATCTCAGTTTCTCTCAATGGGCTTCCATTTCTGCCATCTGCTTCTCTACGAGCATGCTTTGAAAGCCAAATCTTCCCGGGCCCGGGAATCAGTCGTGTCGGAAATGATTCGCCATTCTACGGCAATTGTGCAACTGGCGATGGATACAGTTGATGAGCGGACCCGCCATTTGACTGATCACATCTACCACATGATCACCTTTGCGGCGATTGTCATCTGCCGCTTACTGAATGCCTACCAAGAACAGGTTACCTCGACTCATAAAATCAACGAGCTCGAATTACTCGTACGGGACTTGGTGCAATGGCTTTACTGCATTGGGCTACCATGCCATGCGGCACATACTTTGGGAAATATCATCGCGAAGGTGCATCAAAAGTTACGGCCGCATGTCGAGTTACCGCCAGCAAATCCGCAACCAGATGAGCTACTTGGGGAACTTAATAATTACTACTTCCCGGAATTTCTTGGATTGGGGATGTCGGCTGATGGGAATTGGGATCTTCTGTCCAACATGGGTCTCTTTCAGGAAAGCTCATCTATTCCAGGGAGACCTGACTGACTATTATATATATCAAGCGACTTTAGAGATGAGTCAAAAACGATATAATGCGGCAACATTGCAAAAGCCCTTCACTTGCCCCCATAGTGCTTTTCAAGCCACCGGAGCAGAGGAAATGCGACTCCAGAGAACGCAAATGTCAACTCGTGACCTATATTTGCACCTTGCTTGCCAATCAAAGAAGCAATAGGACCCGAATACCACGCGGTTTTCATACCAAGGGCAGCACCCACGAACCCGAAGGCGAAAGCCCCGATCGCGGCCCATCCAAATGGCAAATAAGCGATGCTGTTCCAAGCGTCAAAATCATATCCATTCCACCCACGCCGGAAAATGAAATGTTCTTCAATCACCACTGTGATATGGATCATAGTCCAGTACCCAATCACACTAAGCAATGTCTCCAGAGTATCGGAGAAATACCGAGCTGCACAGCAGCCGATTATTATCGCCGCGATAAATCCAAAGGTGACCATAACCACACGGGGAATGCGCATAGCCCACGGTCCCAGATTCTGTGCGTGTAATGCAAAAGAGTAGTTGTTAGGAATGTTATTCTTTTTCAAAATTAGCACGCAAAATATAAAATCAACACCAACTGGTAGACTCATTGACTCACTGGAATTGAGCTCAATGCTGCAAGCACCATCAAAAACTTTCCAAACCCCCCTGCTGGCTCTAATGCCATTTTGAGCAACCCCCCAATCGAAGAAGCCGTATACGCCTCTTTCCAAGCTGCATTGGTAATCGTACCTGTATGCAAAGCCGCACCAAGAGTTTGAACAAGCACGGTAGGAACGAAGATGCCCACATAGGTGGCGCTGAAGATCTTCCAGCGCGGTGTATCCTTAGGCATGCGTACATTATAATCCGCCGCGCAATTCACCCAGGAGACCGAGAAGGAGAAGATCAAAGCCATGAATGTAAGAATAGCAGCAGCTTTATCCGAGCCCTGAAGACGTGCGTGATCCTCGCTGGTGAGCTGAGAAGCACCAGTCCCAGCTGCAACACACCACACAATCAAAGGCGGAATCCAGATAAATGTGTCAAGGCGATGGATCCAGTTGATACCTAGAACGCAGATAACCCAGACAGCCACACAGATCACGATGACGCCAGCCCAGATAGGGAATCGGCCATCTGACAGGGCATGCAGCACAGCAGCGCCGGAGATGGAGTTGATTGCGTTCCAACCTGTTGTGGCGATCATGGAGAATATGACAACGAGCATGTTTCCCCAGTAGCCGAATGAGTATCGTCTGAGGGATTTGGGTTTCAGTAGAACATTCGGTACAGAGAGTTAGTCATGAATAGATTACTCACGAGAACGTCGTCATGCGTAGCCCGGTTAATCCAAATACAGATGTCCAGGCTGGTAACAAGTTGCTTGTGATATTGACTAGGAGTATGACGATGAAGCAGTCCCAGAATGGAAGGCCGAGGGAGCCTCCTAGCGATCCTATGTTGAGGGTCGCTACGGCCATGTTTGCACTAAACCTGTAGATAGAGAGTGATATGTTAGTGGTGATCTATATTTTCTCAAATACCAGTCTTACCAGAATGTAGCAGCATGCCAGAACTTGGTTGTATTCTGTTGTCGCTCTTCATCGGTGACCCGTTCGATGCCACCTTCTTCAATAGAGAATCTTCCATGAAAGAATGATTGATGGGGCTTCACCGTCTCTGATTCAGACTGTGACTTCTGGATAGATTCATTATAGTTACTCATTTCGAGTAGTAGTCCGAGATAGAAAGCGGAAGTGAACTGGTCAAATTGAGTCTATACACTGGGGACATACTCTCCTTTCTATATTTCCACCATATCTCCTTTTTCTCCTCGTCATGTATCCATCGATAACCCATTACCCAATGAAGAAAGACATTACACCCGATTGAAGTAAAACACTACACATGAGATCAACACAGTACACACTGAAATATACCGATTAGCATATAATGGGCTTATCTCACGCCATATCGAACGTGTCTTGGCTAATACTTATCTCCCGCGGCATACCGCGGCATGCCGGACCGGGAAACCCTAAGAAGAACGAGTATAATCCACTTCCCTCGATTTCTCCAAACATAAAGTCCCCTCAATCTGCATTGCTTTTCTTTTCTTCAAATCAATATCGTTAGTCAATTGACCCATTTCCAATGGAGCAGCATACCTTCCGCCGCCGAGGCCTCGGTCTCCGCGGAGTCGACGCTGATCGCGTCTCCCCAGGCTACGTTCTATACGCACCTCTCACCTCCAACACAGCACACCTAGTCTCTACAACAGGCAAAGAAGTGCACCGCTGGACACTCCCCCACCGCGCCGGCCGACACGCCCGCATCCTCGCCGATGGCAACCTCGCTTATAACGGCGCACACCCGGACGCCCCCAACCTCTTCCCAATGTGGGCGAAGTACCGGGGCGGCGTAATGATGCAAGTCAGCCCAGATGGCGAGATACTCCGCCAATACAGCGACCCTCTAGCACACCACGACCAGAACCACCTCGATGACGGTACAATCCTGTACACGACGCTGGAGCCACTCACCAGCGCCGAAGCAGCGCGCGTGCAAGGCGGGATCCCATTCACTGAAGCCCCAAACGGCCTCATCTACGGCGACTGCATCAAACTCGTCCAGCCCTGGTCAACAAGCACCACCTCCTCATCTGCAGACTTCGACGGCACCGGTGGTAAAACAGGCGCCAAGCTCCTTTGGTCATGGCGTGCAATCGACCATCTCGACCCTGCTGTCTTTGCTGCGCATGCGCACTATACGCGCGAGCACTGGCCACTTATCAATAGCGTTTCGTTTGACTCGGCCGGGAATATCATTGCTTCGTCGAGGAATGCGTCGAGCGTGTTTGTTATTAGTCGTGATACGGGTGCGGTCAAGTGGCATCTTGCTGCGCCGGTTGTTAGCCAGCAGCATTGTGCTCATGAGATTAATGAAGCGGGGGATATGTTGATTCTTGATAATGGTGTGTTCAGGCCTGGGATTTCGGTGCCGTTTTCGAGGGCGATTGTTGTTTCTAAGGAGGGGGTTGTTAAGTGGGAGTATAAGGATTTCTCGACGGGTGGATTGGGCTTTTTTACGCCGTTTATGGGGTCTGCCCAGAAGTTGGTTGGTGGGAATGTTCTGATTTGTGAGGCTGCTAGTGGGCGGATTATGGAGGTTACTGAAGGGGGTGATCTTGTTTGGGAGTTTGTTGTGCCACAGCTGGGGGATTATAAGGAGGTTATGAAGAAAGAGGAGTTGGCGGAGATGGAGGGAATTGGATTTGATTATGCTAGCAATGCGGTTTTTAGGGCTTACAAGTATCGCCGTGAGGAGGTGCCTTGGGTGAAGGAATAGTCGAAGGCTTCTAGAACTGTGCAAAAATGAAGATGCGATTCTTGTGATTTTGAGTCTATTGTACATAAATGGGCCGTAAAAATAAAGATCGGCTTTTGTCTAATTGGTGGTGATACAATGTGCGTAAGAGAGTCTGGTGAAGTGGATGGATACATGAGACTCGAGACAAATGAAAGAAAGGAATATGTCGCGGATGGTTATAAGACATGGGGAGTGGAAAGTGTCGAGTAGATAAATGAAAGGAGGCGCGTCGGGCGTCTAGGACTATGTTCAAGATCTCAACCAAGAGATTCGCCAAGATGAGCTTCGGCAGAGGGAGTGTCTGTCTGGATGGCACCATCCTGGACCACTCGAGTTTCAGTAGCGATTTCTTTGGTGACGACAGGCTGCTCGGCTTTCTTGACTTTCTTGGGCTCAGGCTCCTTGCGTGTGGAAGCATACTTCAAGAAGACGATGATCATGACTTATAATTGAGTTAGCTACGCGAAAGACCCAGTCGGGGAACAATGGGGGCACTTACAAGCACAGATAGCAATCGTCAGGGCGGCACGTCTGGTCAAAATCCATCGGAGACCTTCGATCTCACTCTTTCCATCGCTGTTTAGCGATACGGTAATCTTGTAGTTTAATTCCTGAACCGAGGTATCGATGCTCCGCTGCTGTTCTCGTGTGGTCATCTTGTGATCATTGAACATGCCCTTGATGTCGTCTTTCATGCCTGAAAGTTCTTGGCTGAGACGCTGTGAGATTATATCGGTTTCATGCTGTAATTGTGTGCGCGATGAGCGCTGATGCTGTATTTCCGAGTTGCGAGCTGTCTGAAGCGAGGACTGAAGCTCAGAGCAGGCTGCTTTGAACAGGTATTCCTCATTCTCGACATCGGATTTGGAAGTGAGGCTTTCCCTGGCCAGGGAGAGGTTATTCTGTAGGATAGCCCGCACAGCCTTCATGATTGTAGTAGACTGCTCTTCGCTGTATCCCCCTTTGGACAGATCCTGGACCAACGAATACGTGTCGAAATGGTGCACATATGGTGCTGGGGACAAATGTGGCGGGCGACCGTCGGACGAGGAGGGCTCTCCAGTTGGGGATAGGTAGACGGACGGGGAGGGCATGTGGAGAACATCATCGAACGGAGTTTGACCTGTAAAAGAAGAAGTATCTGTGCTTTCTTCCGACGGGCCTTCGGAAGGAGGGGGTGAAGAAGCCGGAGCCTGTTCCTGCTCAGCACCATCCATGTCCGTTCCCTTCTCCTCATGCGGTTCCCGGTCAGTCGGGGGATTGTCTTTCTTTGTGTCGTCCTCAATTTGTTGATCTAGCGCCGGGGTCGCCGAAGAAGCTTCTTTGGCGACATCTGCGACATCTTGCTCGGCTTCCTGAGGTTGCGTTTCCGACTCTCCCTCCTGCTCCGAGGCATTTACAGCCTCATGTCCAGAAGATGGATCCTCTGGCACATCTTGGACCTGATCATGGGGACCCTTCTTCGGACGCAATGAAGGAGAAGTATTCGGTTCGACAGCTGGGCCGTAACGCCGCTGGTAGGAATCGCGCCGGTGTTGCTGGCTCGTATGGAAGCGTTGACTGGGCCGGTATGGGATTCGAATTGAGCGGTATGTTCTCGGTTCGCATGAGCGCACCGCGCGCATCAAATTCGGATACAGGAACGGGAGCCTCGGTGTCGTCATAATGGTAACCAATATATGAAGAAGCTAACTTCCTTTCCCGCGGGGAATCATCAACGTCACCCGTCTCCGGCAGTACATGATTAGTCAGCTTTGCACGTGCAGATGCCCGGGTGTGATTTCGAGAAAGTTTTGATTTATTTTCTGATTTTATTTTCATATGTAGATATTGGCAAGAGATCGAGGGGTTATTCCCTACAACTAGGCAATGTATAATCGGATCGAAGTCCTTGAGATGAGACGAACTTCATTATAAGGATCCGGACAATACACCTCAAGCTTCCCTAGCTGAGCTATCCGAGCTCGGGAAGATCTAATTGGTTGATTATCCTGGGCGAGTACAACATAGAAAGCATATCTAGACTTCCGGACTTTCTTTCTTTTCCCTTGAATCCACCAGACCTCGAAATGCCAGTAACGCGAAGTCAGTCTAAGAACCTGGCCAACCAGAGTTCGATCCCAGCACAGGCCAACACAGAGCATATCGAGATCTCCACCAGAAGCGTGGAACAAGAACAAGCAGCGAGAGGATCTTTCGTTGAATGGCTTGATCTTGACTATGGCACCGATTCAATATTGAAACACATCGACTGGAGGTCCATCCTCAGGGATGTTCGAAAAGTTGATGGCTGTCGCCAGATCATATCTGCATGTCCCATGGAAAATCCCCAGAGACTGTGGATTATAATACGTAAGAGACGGCGTAGATCCTCTCTCAGAAAAAAATAACAAACAGCCTACGGGTTAAAGACTGGCTTACTAGAACTCATCGAAACAAGTTTCATCAGTCAGATGCAATGACACAGACCATGAAAGAAGTCATCTTCCTCCCAGATTCCGATAACCCCAGCAATAACAGAAAAAGCCACAACAACAAAGCCCTTTTAATTTATCAACTTGACCTTACGGACGGAGAATTCAGTCTTGATTGCTTTTCGAAGCCCAGTCTTCCTAGCATGATCTATGAGATCCGGATGATCTGTTTTCCGATTGAAGAAGTCGTTGCTTTATTGGATTCAGGCCCTCCTTACCATTATCTGAAGTTGGTGAATTTCTACCTCCAACCGACGAATGAATCATCAGACCCTATGGCAGCTATTTTCAATCAAAACCATTAAGCGCATCAAGGTGCAAGATATTGACATAACCAGTTCAGAAACAAACACATGCTCTCTGCCAATATATGTAGATACAGTATGTGGCACAACAAAGTGTACAAATATATCACAGAAGTTCATCGTCATCGCCAATCTAGGGATCAGTTGTATATATACTTGGTAGTGTTTCTAGCCATTGGGGGCCTTCTAGCCGAAAGACCCTAGGAAAGACCTTGAAAAGACTGATAGAAAGATGATCACAAAGTGGTTTTTATAGTAGCACTAAACTTCCTCTACGGGATGTAGCGATTTAGATATTATAGGTGTTTTAGAGGGCATATCTCGAGTTCATAAAACTATTTAAAATGGAGAAATACTAATCTCATGCTTATGGGGGCTTGTACATAGGCTGGCGCGATGGACCCAAAACCTGCCGTAGTTGTCTTCTCCCTGCTATCTCCGACTACTTTTCTTAGGGGGACCTCGAGACTTCATTCTTCGAAGATGCACTCTTCTCTCGCACAGCAAATATTAGAGAAAAGAATAGTTTCCCGCTACCCTAAGGTAGTGACTTATCTGACTTTTTAGATGATCGTGAGTTCAAGACACCTATAGCCTCCTGATTAGGGCTAATGGAGAAGGTTTGTGGCTTTCCCTTTCTAGGCTTTCCGGAATTAATCTCACTGAAACTCTGCAAGTTGTGAAAAAAAATATATAGTATCTCTGTCTGAACCATGGGCAATGAGAAGATTACAAGTAATCATGTTCATATGTTATAAGACAGGGATATGAACAAGGTGAAATTTTGGTTCCAAGTCAAGAGATTCAGATATCATACTACCTAAAGGCTGGATGTTTGCAAATAAAACCCGTAGACTTCTAGAAGGGAATAGTTCGGTCTATGGGTCCATGGATGTTTGTGTTTGTTTGGCACAAAGAGAACTTTTAGGGAAAGAGCGACTGATATCTCCAAATTTGGAAGGTGCGCGTCTAATAATATGATCCCCTAACATCTTCTCTTCTCTTCTCTCTCTCTCTCTCTCTCTCTCTCTCTCTCTCTCCCCTTCATCGACTTGTTTACCTAGGTAGCTCTTCGATATCTTCGTCAACTCAAGTCATCAATTGACGAGACGGCGACAACCCCGTCTTGTCTTGACCCAGCTCTTCAAACCTTACAATTTCCTCTCCTGATCACCATAAATTCCAAAAAACTCCGAAAAAAAAAAACCAAACGTCCTTCGCTAGGCGCTAGACGCGTCTACCAATCCCCCTCTGTGTCGACCGACCTCTCAAACCATAAGCAACAAACATTGAGGTTGGTCATACCAAAATGGCGTCTGTACAGACACCATGGACCTCAATCCTGCTACAGGAGAAACCTGGACTTCACGAATACAATCATGCTCTGTCGAATGTCGAAAAATACTACACTCGCTTGCATCGAGCTATGCAGGATGGATCAATCCACGACCAACTGGTTCTCAACCCGGACCAGACACACTCACGCCTGCTGAGATCCTTCGAAATATTGCGAGGCAAACAGCTGCCAACCCCTGTTGCCGAGGAGATTTTCAAAACCATGGTCCTCCCATTTATTCACGACAACATATTCTCACCACCACAGATGATTCAACTCGTTGGATCCGCACTCCCTCTCATTACAAAACAAAACTCTCAATTTCTGCGAGAACTCACCAACACCCTCCTGTCGTCCCAAGGATTGTTTGACCACCTGGTAGCCAACGAAAAGTACACAGTGGTTCTGAAGGAATGGTTGCTGTCCAAAAGAAACCATCTCCCCCTTGCTCTCTCCAGGCAGGTTGGAGACAGGTTGACTGCCATGTGCAACGCCTGTTCCGCTGACCACGGAACGGAAGCTATCGTGGATAGTTGGGACATTGCCCAAAAGCTGATGGAATCGATCAAGTTGCTCATCGATTCATCTTACGAAGAAGAGTTAAAACGGACAAAAGTGGAGAATCTGCCTCCTCTCGAGTCAATGAAAGTGTTCAGTCGGGACGACAAAAAATTGACTCCAGCTCAACAAGGCCCCCAAAGGCAATTCAAGGTCTCGGATGAGATTCTGAAGCAGATGCACCACTTCCATATCCCACCACCATTGTCCGCTCGAGGCCTCACCCATGCAGCGGAGCATCTTCAAAATGAGATAATTCCATCACTCATGCGCTCTGCCCTGGAGAGCTTCCCATGCAGAATCTGTTTGGATAGGCTCACTACCGGGAGACTTACAGGCACTCTAGCCAGTTCAATAAACCTGCCTTCGGACCGAGCTACAACACCGGGCAATGCCCAAGACATTTTCGGAAAGAGAGTCGGTCTTTGGAAAGTTTTGCTCTCTGACGTCGCTTTCAAGAATGCCAAAAAGTTGGTCCGCGGAAGTAAGTCTGGCTAATCACCTGATTGCCTTCTGTCTATGCAATTTGGTCGTTTCTAATCGTATTTAGGTGACTTTGATGGCGTGGAACGAAAGCTCAGAGATTTAGCAAGCGGCGAGTGGAAAGGCAAAGATCTATCTCGCCGTGTGGGATCTAAACAGCAGAAGAAAAGAATGCAAGTTCCTATTTTGGAAGTGAGCGCTTCTGCGACTGTGTCAATCTTATGGCAGGTCGATATCGGGTTCTATGATGAGCTTCCATGGGTACAGCAGCAAATTGTCAAAGGTAAGTGTCTTCAAACTATCTCATCAAGACTTGCGGATCTATTCTAACTTTGGCAGTTTGGCAAATCGTGACATCGGAAGAGGAGGTGTGTTTCTAAATCAAACAGTATGAGACGTCTGCTAACTTGATTTTACAGCTGGAAACTGCCATTGAGCAAATACTTTTGATCCAGGAATCCTATACCCCGGAGCTTTCTCAGCTCTGTTTGGAACGTCCCGTTCAGCAATCCGATGGAACTTGGACGCCACAGCGGTTTGGAAATGTGAAAGAGACTGGGTCTTACCAGTTGAAATCCATTGCTTCCTCCAAGGTAACCCCAGCTCTGATTGAGATGTCAAGTATGAATTTATCCCCCTCGATTCCATCCCAAGCCATATGTGTTGTAAGCTAACCGTGAGCCTCAAGACAAATTTTACAATCTTACTGAGCCGTTCTTGAAGTCGATCGTTGATGAAAAGGACGAGGAGGAGTTTCCATTTGATCTTTCGCCCGAAGAATTAGAGATCGTGAAGCATTTCAGCACATCAACTTTGATCTTAGGACGAAGTGGTACAGGGAAAACCACATGTCTGTTGTTTAAGATGCTCGCCAAGCACAAAGCAAGGCAATCAGACTCGAATGAGCAGCAAGCTCGACAGGTATGTTTCTCTCTCTTCTCACGATGTTGGATGGGAAATTAACATGAATAGCTTCTCTTGACTCGCTCCTCTTATCTAGCTTCAAAACTTCAAACATATGCCAAAAGTCTGATAGACGCTCAGTCCAAGGCTCCATCGACCGAAGAGGATGTGGACTCAGATTTGAAACCGACTTCGTTCTTTGCCCTGAAGAATTGGCATTTTCCAGTTGTCTGCACTTATGATGAATTTCTTGGGCTTCTGGAGAACACGATCAGGTTTGAACATCTACACTGCCAAACTTTCAAATACGTCCCTGCTAACATGAAGTAGAATGGCTGATCGAAAGGACTTCCTAAAAGACATGAATCCCAACAAGACAAAGGCTCTGGGCCCACAGGGAGGAGACAAGCCACAAGTGATTGACTTCAGCATTTTCAAAACAGAATATTGGGGCTCTCTAAGTGGGTTAGCTCCACAATCCTGCTCTCCAGAGCTCCTCTTCGCGGAGATTATGGGCGTCATCAAAGGCTCTAGCATCACTGCAAAAAGCCTGAAGCCGTTATACCGTGCAGAATACGTCAAGAAGAACGCGAAAGCTTCTCCCGCCTTTACCTCTGAGGCAGAACGTGAGAAGGTCTTTGGAGCATTTGAGCGCTATGAAAAGCAAAAGAAACTTCGCAAGGATATTGACGAGTTGGATCGTGTCAGTGCCTTACTGAAGTCCCTGAGAGACAACAAAGTTCTAGCAGAGCAGATTCAGCGCTGCTTTGAGGAGATCTATGTTGATGGTGGGTCGTGTTTGCAATATTAGAGCGCAGAGTACTGACTACTTGTTTAGAAATTCAAGACCTGCGTTGTCTCGACATCGTACTACTTTTGGGCTGCCTCAGTGACGCTCGTGGGATTCACCTTGGTAAAGTCTCTAAATTTTGATCCACGAGCTTAATCAGCTAACAGAGCCTAGCTGGTGATACTGCCCAGTGCATATCAAAAGATTCGGTATTCCGATTCCCTGAGATTAAGGCTTTGTTCTACGAACATTACGAAGTAATTGCCAGTCAACTAACTCAGCCATCATTTGCCAAGCCTATCCAATTCTCTTTGGCTAAGAATTATCGCTCTCACCAGGGCATTCTAAGCTTTGCATCATGGGTGATGCAGTTACTCTGGCATGGTATGAAAAATTGAAAAGATGAGACTCGTGTTTATCTAACCATTTATGTATAGGGTTCCCGGAAACAATCGACAAATTGGATCCAGAGATTGGCCAGATTGGGGGACCGAAGCCAGTGATCTTTGGTATGTCGCATCGCTGCATTAGCATTCAATCACTAACATTTGTCACATAGCGGGTTTTGACTCCTCGATTCTTTCTGCCAAGATGATAGGCCTAGTCAAGCTCAACGACAAGGTCGCCGATTTTGGCGCAGAGCAAGTCATCCTTGTCCGGGATGATGCATCAAAGGACAAACTGCAAACCCAAATTGGCGAGATTGCCCTTGTTTTGACAATCCTAGAAAGCAAGGGTATGGAGTTTGATGATGTCTTGGTGTATGACTTCTTCGGCAGTAGTGGGCTTGGCAGTAGCTACCGGTGCCTTTACATGCTTGTTCAAGCAGCAAGAGCGCACTTCGATTCCCAGAAACATGCGGTGAGTATTTCATGAAATAACCAGCCTGTTATAATTGCTAACATGTTCCAACTAGGCCTTATGCTCCGAACTCAAGGTATATCCATTCCTTTGCTAATGCTTTTTCTTGCTAACAATAATAATCAGTCACTGTATGTTGCTGTTACTCGAGCTAGGAAGCAACTTTGGTTTATGGAAACCCAAGAGAAAAGCGTTGATCCCATCATTCAAACCCTCTCGCAGAGCAACAGCCTCGAACTTGCTGAAGTTGTGAAGCAGAAAGACCCTAACGTAAGTCACCTTCTAATCCAAATGGCTCGCATACTAACTTCTCGCAGGTTGCAGCAAAGATCATGGTTCTGCGGGCCGGCGGCTCGGTAGACCCAGAGAGGTGGCTCAAGAGAGCAGCACATCTTCTCCATCGGAAGAGCTTTGCCGAGGTGATATACTGCTTACCAACCGGGGGAGAGCTTCGTGCTAATAAATCTTTAACAGGCATTGTTCTGCTATAAGAAGGCCAATGATCCTCGAGGAATGACACACTCGCAGGCGTGTTTGCATGAGCAAGAAGGAAGATCTCACCGAGCAGCTGGAAATACTGAAGAATTCACAGCTTGCTATGAGAAAGCCATCGTTCTTTTCCTTGAGATAGGTCTTATTACCGAAGCAGCGACGTGTTATGAGGGACTTGCGCAGTTCGATAAAGTCGCAGGTTTGTTTTTCAATCGCGTCGAGTTTGAGGAATACTGACCTCTCTTCTAGAAATTTGGAAAGATCGCGAGCAATACCAGAAGGCAGCATCTTTCTATGAGAAAGGCAAGCTCTTCACCGAAGCTTCTGAGTGTTATCATTTTTGTGGTCAATACGAGGCGGCAATCGAGGTCTTGCGTCGCGGAGACCAGTTCGATGAACTTGTTACCTATGCCAACAGGTTTTTATTTCTTATTTTTTCTTTTCTATATTCATTACACAATATTGACTATGTACAGGAACCACGAGTACCTCAGCGATCCCGTCTTACTTCGTTACTCAAGACTCTGCAATATCTTGCTAAAGCAGGGACGTGTCTCTGCCAGTCTGCGGGCGATAACCATCAACATGCTTGGATCAGATGTGTCCAAGATTGCCTTTTTCAAAGAGTTCGAAATGTGGGACCAGCTACGTGCCCTATATTCGTCGAAGTCCAGGTGGTTCGAGTATTACGACCTATCAGTGGCTGTTGGTGACATACCTGCGGCGATCAGCACACTGCTCATTCATAAATTGATACCAGTGGTCGACAAGCCAATTGTTGAAAAGCTGTTCAATTATTCTATGGTCGAAGTCTTGTATGCGCACAGAGACATAATTCCGGGGAACCGTGAGCGAGATGGGCTGCTGAAATCAGTCAAATCAACTTACCTCGAAAAAATTGGGGCTCAATGGAAAACGCTCTTGCTGTTGATCGAAGAATTTGAGGATATGGATTCACCCGCTTCAGTCAAAAACCTGGAGAAAGGTCTTCTGAAGGATATCTTCTGTCTTTTTGTATGTTTCAATATTGCCACCACTTGTGAGTAGACAGCTAATTATTTTCAGGTGATCGCTTTTCAGCCGTCAGTGTTCACCAAGCAGAAGGTCGAACACCTTCCAATGGATATTGTCATCCGAGTTGGAAAGCTGCTACAAGACTTCTATTCTCGGAACCGCTACTCCCTTACTTGCCTGGCAATGACTTGTGGCATTTTTACCAACCCAAAACAAGAGAACCAGACGATCTTGCTTCACTGGTCTCCACTGAGGACTCACACAGCAACAGCTCCTGATGAATCTTTCTTCGAGAACTTGCTTGACATAGCGAAAGACTTCATTCAAGAGAAGTTTGCCGCAGCACTTACTCAGTTCCATGAAAATGCATACAGTCTCATGAAGACGGAGTTTCCAGCGACATGTTTCCAACAGCTTTACAAAGGTACGCAATATCCACTGATGTCCACGTTTTGAGATGGCTAATAATTTGAACCAGGATTTTGTTCGAAGCTTAAAGCTAATGAATGCTTCTGGGGCCATGAGAAGCCTACTGCCGAATTCGCTATTGCGAAGTTGAATGTGAGTTAAAGACCGAGTAGAAATATGAGATCAACTAACATTTATCCCCGCAGTGCCTTCTCACCGTTGCTGAGGTTTTCGCGCGGCTCACGCCTATCTACTATCAAAGAGTTATGGGCGATGCTTTCAGCAAACCATTTCTAGGTCGTAGTAAGTGGTCGGTCCAATCTCGTCATACGTTCCAGATCTAACATACTGTAGGGAGAACTTGGATGCAACATGTCCAAGAGGAGCTGGTCATTGTCACTTCGCTGGAGCAGTCCTCTACTGCAATTGCAATCATACGTGCCAACCTGCAAAGCAATCCAGAGTTTGCTGCAACCGCATACTGCCTCGAAGAGTTGCTCTTCTATCGCATGGACAAAGAATGGGGCTCGATGAGCAGTCTGAGCTCTTCGTTAGAGAAGGTGCAAGAAGCTCAAGTCCTCGGTATTATGAACTCCTTTCCCTGAAATATTAAACGCTGGCTCTAATAATCAATCATTTGCAGGCCCTCACCCAGCCACGCGTTTCCAGCGAGCACTAGTTCTGAACATGGATCGCAGCATGCCACCACGCCCTAGGAGATCCGGTCATCCGCTCGCGCTGCCTTGCACAACGTTGAATGCTGCTGAGAGAATTCGGTCAGCGGTGGGAAGACGCCACGGTCAAGACTTTGTGAGACATTATTCAATCTACATGAAATATCAAACTGTGCTAACCTTTTCATAGCACAACGGCGTCAATGCCTTTCTCCAATGTCTCGAGAAGACACCCAAATCCTCCCTTGGGTCCCTCCATGCTGTTCTGTCTGTGCTCGAGTTTGCAGCTACATACATTGTATGTTTCCAAATCTCAGCGATGATATAACGAGTTACTGATCTTGTGCAGCTTTGTATCGCCAATCCAGGAAGGGGTATCGTAGTTCCGTGGTCCTGGGCCTTGCAGCATCTTTCGACAATAATGCAATCTCCCGCTAAAGACTATACGTTCAAGGACAGAGAGATCCGAGTGCACACAACCGACTTGATGAACATTGTCGTCAGCTTCTGCAACCTCATGGAACAGGTCGAACACGCCCTTACCAACGGCACTCTCAGATTTCAGGGAATGGGACGCAGTGGCTTTCCAATTCCTATTATCAAACGGCGCTGCACTGAGCTTCTGACGACCGTGAATCTCAACCTGAACCATTGGCCAAAGCAGCCGATTGGCTTTAAGGAGATGGAGAAAGTGGTCAATAGGGTATGTGTCTTTGCTTATGGCAAAGTTTCATAGAACAAGACTTACTGATCATATAAAAAAACTAGACCCTTCGATCCCTTATTCCACCGGGAATGGCACTGGAACTTTCCAACAGTGATAGATTCCGGCAAAGTTGCATCCGCGAGTATGCAGCCTACAACCTCAAAGACGAGCTGTGCGTCATTGCGCTTGATGACAGAAAGTCCGCTCCTCTCTTCCTGCGGTCTTTCACACAAGGCAACGCGAAATTCGCCCAGCTAAGTGATATCTTGCGGGTGTCGCGCATTGCCGAGGACCCCCTATCCATGGGTCTGGGGGAGGACTGGCAAGTTGACGAATACACTGGCTACGAGCTCGACATGATCACGAATCTTCAGCGACGCTGGCGAAAGGTGATGAAAATTCTCGCAAACAACCGCCGCAGGGCACAAACCCGCGAGGGCAAACTTATCCAGCACTTCCATGAAATGTTCGCGATACGAATGAGCGTTCTGCCCGCGGCCGCTTGGTCAACTCTGGACAAAATACATATGCGCAAGGTGGTCTTTACCGATTGTATGAAGATCACCATGTCTCTTGATGGTGTTTTGGCCAGCTTCCGACAGCTGAAGGACCGGTGGAGGCAGCAATTCGACAGTAATTGGTCCACCACAAAGCTAGAGGAGCTCTCTGTCATTCGCGGACGGATTCTCCCGATCGACGGGCAGCTTGAGTACATTATTGAGCACTGGTCTCCCAAGGGCATTGAGGAGGGTATGATGACCATTCAGGCCGAGAACCTCGGTATCTCAGCCCGCGAGGCCCAGCGCGCCCTCTGGGCTGTTCAGCGCGAGATTGAAATCATTCAATCCCAGGTTGACATTATTGCGAAGAGTGCTGCCTGGTAAGGGGATTTTCCCTTCCATTGATCAGCCGAGGCTCGACAACAAAAATCTACAAAAACATTTGAAAATAAGAAATGTCAGCAAAAAAATGTTAACCGGGGATGATCTCTGTGGAACAAGGGAAATTTCTTAATATCTGGCTTCGGATCATTTTATGGTTAGACGAGATACGATTGTATGAAGTGAAATGTATGATATATTGTCTACGTACTCTGTAATGGATTCTTGTCTGCGTACTATGGAACAGTGTATTTTCTGCTCGAAGATACATTCAAGTACATTATGTATCCACTGCTTCATGTGAAAAAGATAATGTAAAGCATAGATGGATATTTGGCAAGATGCAGCATATCCCTAGAGAAGAACTCAGGGTCTTGCCAAGAGACCAAACAGCAGCTCCGTCCGAGTCCAGTACTCAGTTGCAAGCTTCTTGATAGTCTTCACGGTCTCCACACTGGAACCAGAGCTCTTCTGAGCACGCTCGACGACACCAGCCAGCTGATTTCGCTCACCGAGCATCTGAGACAAATACAAAGAGTCGAAGAAGAGCTGAACCTTCCAATCACGTAGACCTTCAAATTGATCTAGATCCGGGCTTTGGGTCTCTGGTTTCTCCGAGGTCTCATCTTCCTTATCCTCATCTCCGTTGGCAGCGGGTTGGTCATCCTTGATCTCAGCCTTGCTAGGGGGATCTTCACTGTCGAGATCATCCAAAGCAGATGAGATAACCGCCTCAAGTTTCATTTTCAATTCCTGCTTCAATGCCTGCACAGTGGACGGATCCCACAGGTCCAATCCGCAGGTATCCATCGAGGAAGTGAGACGGCGCAGGAGCTTGAAGCTCGAAGCAGAGGGCTGAACCGGTATGGCAGGCTCGCCTTCCCAGAGTGATCTGCCGGGCACGGTCTTAATCTTGCCTGTCTGGGGGTTGGTCTTCGGGGACGGGACCAAGCTCAGCGATCCAGCCTTGGCGACTACTTCTGCTGCAAGCAGCTTCTGTAGAGCAGGGAGGATTTCGTTCGAGAAGACAAAGTCTCCAGATACAAAGCCGGCGGGGATATCTCGCCGGACGAGTCGTATAAGCCTCAGTAGGAAAGTGGCTTTTTCGCTTGAATGCGAGGACTCGAATGACTTGAAAGCGCTGCTGAGTGATGTCTGGAGATTGGCGAATGCGTCGCGAACGGCAGATTGGAGAGAATCGGATAGGTGTCGGGGGTCATCTTCGTTGAGTCGGGGTGTGATGTCGATATCTTCATCTTCGACTTCGCCTCCGACGAGAATGTCGGTCCATCGCGTGCGGCGGAGAGAGTCGATGGATTCGTTGACTTCTTGGATTGAGGCCAGCCATGCTTGATACTTCATAAGAACGGTAGAGACGTCTTCGTCACGACCCAATAATCTGTCTGCGACGGTTTGTTTAAATGTCTGTGCGCCGTTTGTGTATTCTGCGGTAATAATATCGACATCCCATAGAGATCCAACGGGGTTATGGTCGATGGTCTCCCAGTCTGATATTATAGATGAAACCTGAGTGCCGACTTCGCCTAGGCTTTGTGCTTTCACATTTAGGATTCTAGCAAGCTGGCCATTGAAGATATTTCGAAGACTTTCGAGGATGTCCACTGAGCTGTGAATGATAGTCGAGCCCCAGGATGATAGCCACAATTCTACGGTCTCTGAACGGAGTGAGAGCAGCTCGGAGAAATCGGTGCTGTGAGCCAGGCTCTTTTGGCAGCCTTCGGAGAATCTCTCGAAAGCCTGAAGCGACCATTCCTTGGTTGATTCCACGCCCTCTGTTCTGTTCAATTCGCTGAGCTTGATCCAGGGTGTGAAATTTTTGACTTCTGGAGCTACCCAGCGGCCAAGAACTTCAACCTCCAGCCCATCTAGACTCAGGATCTCTGGGTCTGCGAGGAGAGGCCGAGCTTTAAGCTTTGAGAGCACATCTGGAAATTGACGGGATCGCAAGACCTTTGAGGCCTGCAGTGTCCGAACAAACAGCTGGAGGGCTCTGGGAATATTCTCACAAGACACATCCAACTGGCTAACAATGACGTCCAGGCGCACTTTGTGGAAATGATCGATCGCATCATCGGAAGAAGAGCTCGTTGCAAGGCAATAGGCGGCCAGTGATTCAATGATAGTATCTTCTGTAGCGCCTGTGGAGGCAAGACGCTGATCAATTCTTTTGAGGAGTGTTCGCCGGAGAGAGGCTAACTGGTTCCGGAGATCATCAATGAATGGGGGGAGTGCTTCGTGTTGCGATAATGTTTTGTGTAGTAACCGGGAAACAACTAGAATCTTCGCAATTAACAGAAGCGAGCTGCGACGTCGCAAAAGCCGACTGATAGAGGTTGTACAGCGGTGAAGGAGAGAAAGCTGCGCTCCAAATGCGTGCTTCTCTGCGTCTATGCTCACAATATCAGCTACTAATTCCTGATTTTCCCCAGGACTAGTTATCGTACCTTTCTCAGCATCACCGGTCTTTATTTGCCGGAGATGAACATGCTTCCTTTCTATAATTCGGGGGTTGCACCGGCGTCCAACATCAGCCAGAATGGATTCCACGTCTTGAATGTCTCGGTTCATGGCCACAATCGTCTCAGCGGTTCCAACTAAGTCACGATATCGGGTTCTAAGATCAAATTATACCATGATTAGCAAAGAAACAGCTACTCTGGCAAATCAATCACCTACCCCACGAGAGCTCGGAGCTTCTCCTTATTGCTCGTGATGTCCCGGCGCAGCTCCTGTTCCACACGGCGGACCGTTGGAATTGGATATTGGAATGCATCGTGCCATGACTTCAAGCTTTGAGGATCAGGCGCCTCAGGGGCCATGCTGGCGGAGTATATGATGAGACCGTTGGCTTATAGAGAACAAGTAATCCATGCGACACGGATGCCTGAGCGCCTTAGACCCCTGGACCGGCCTTATCGCTATCGTCACATGATGGCAGAAAAAGTCCCCCGCCACCGAGGGGAGATTGGCCATCCGGACATCGTCAACGGTCTTATATTTTACACAAGAGATATCCAATATGCCGTTGCTTGAGTCGGACGCTTCTATGGCAGAGTTCTCATCTAATGATCTCCCAGATCGCCTCCCTTTCCCGCCCACCACCTACTCCCATATCTTGCATTGCTCTTATCATGACTGGCATCCGCGGTAAGCTTCCATATATGACTCAACATCAAACATATCTGATTGAAGTTCTAGGTACCGCACCCTTGCACCCAAGTCGCGCGTTATCCCATTGAGCGCTGCTTTTGTTGAATACCTCCGCTCCGACGGCATCGTTCTTCCACCCGAGACCGTCGCCCCAACCGATGATGATAACCTAGACACATTCTCCGACTCGGGCGAGGAGGAGCATGATCCATCTTCAGAGTGGCAGGATATCCACACTCAGATCAAGAATACCATATCTGATCTCGGCGGCATTGTTACACCTAAATTAAACTGGAGTGCTCCCAAAGATGCAGCATTCATGGCCGCCACAAACGACACCCAATGCCGTTCTCCGAATGATATCTACCTCCTCCTAAAAAGCAGCGACTTCATCACCCATGATTTAGATCATCCCTTCGACGACTGTGTGCCGGATGCAACCATCGACGAACCTGCATCCACCGTTGACTCACCGCTGCCGGATGTGCCGTATTCTCTGGTTCTCCGCAAATATGTCAACTTCAACCCCTCGCTCGAATTCCGCTGCTTTGTGCGCAACCGCGTCCTGCTGTGCATGACCCAGCGCGATCAGAACCATTTCGACTTCCTCTTCCCCATGCGTGATATGCTCCGGTCTCGGATCCAGTCATTCTTCGATGAGAAGCTCAAAGACACATTCCCCGAATCCAACTTCGTATTCGATGTGTACATCCCCGCACCACACCAGCGTGTCTGGTTGATTGATATCAATCCGTGGGCGCAGCGTACCGACCCGTTGCTGTATAGTTGGTTGGAGATTCTCCGGATGAAGGATCCGATTGGTGTGCAAGAGGAAGAAGATGATGGAGCGGAAGAGTTTGTGAGAATCTCACTCCATGATGGGAAGATTATCTCTACTGGCACAGCGGAAGAGCTTGAAAAAGATGATAGTTTGGGTTCTTCCGACTCAGAGGAAGAACATGAGGGTGCCGAAGGAGATGACGAACAAGCCCCCTTCCTTCCGGAATTCCGTCTCATCAAGAAGGATGATCCCGAGGCGTACGCATTTAGCTCCACTCAGTATTCGGCTCACAAGGTGCCGAGGGAGCTAGTTGATGCTTCGCTTGAGGGGCCTGGTGGCATGAGTGAATTCATGGGCCAGTGGCACGATATCTTGAAGAAGCAGCAGCAAGAGGATCGGGATGCTGGCAGTGACTCTGAATAAACTAACCTCAGCTCAAAGCGCTAGGTGGGATAAAAGCATGGATTCTTGGTCTAATGGCGTTTGACTATAGCAGGGAAATGAATTTATGGTAATTACAAAGCTGCATCGTGCATTACAGGCCATTATACGCATTTTCAACGAATAAAAATCAATATGTTTGTCGCCCTCGGTCTGCAGTAGTCACAATCACCTACCTAGACAGACCTTTCAGCATATTTAGGGACAAAGGTTGTACATATACTATATCATATCAAGAACCCGGCAGGTTTGATTGAATGATTAGACTCTTCTGATGTTGTGTTTATTACTTCTATGCTTCGCCTTGAAGATCAAAATAACGTATAAAACGACACTCGGCCCCCTGAATGCTTACACCGGAAAGACCCCGGAAAGGTATGTACTCAAGTGAGGCCGTAGAAGAGGCAACCGTAACCTCTGGTAACTATATACAAAAACACCATCCAGCAACTAAAGCTTATGTCTCTTCTCACCAGACGCCAACCTCTGGAACTCTTTCTGTGGGAATCCCTTCATAAAGCGCTCAAGGCCCATAAATGCCTCAAGACCATTCTGACGATCCAAAATCTCCCTCTCAGGCCGTCTTACCAGCTCCTTAATCCCCAAGAGACTAGTCTGATTCAAGTGCGTGCCAAGACGATCCTCAACCTCCTCAAGCACCTTCTTCAAGAACCCATCAGAGTCATCCTTCTTCCCAGACTCCGGCGTAATAACCTTATTAACAAAGCCAGTGGAAACAAGCTCGTCACAGGTAATCCGCTTGCTCATGAGGAGCGCCTCATTCGCCTTGGCGATTCCGAGACGCTCAACGAATGCGCGGCTAGCGCCGCCTTCAGCAACAAGGCCGAGCGAGGAGAAGGGGGTCAGGATGAATGTGTGTGGGGCAGCGTAGATGAAATCAGCGTGGGCAACCAGGGCGGCTGAAAGACCGACAGCGGGGCCGTTCAGGGCGACAACGAGGATCTTGGAATGGTTGTAGAAGGTGCGGGTGACGTCGACGTTATTTGCGACGAAGCCCTTGACTAACTCGCGACGCGCGCTTGAGTTGAGATCACCGCCGTCGGGACGCGCGCTTGTTACATCGGCTCCGCTGAAAAGACACGAGTGTTAGATATAGTAGATCTTGTCAAGTTTCCTTTTTGGGACATAGTTGTGGGATATCTAAGGCTGGGCTGTGGCTGTGGATGACATACGCAGAGAAGAAACGACCTGTTCCGGTCAGGACTGTGATAAAGATATCCTCTCGTGAGTCAATCTCGCGTAGACGCTCGCCTAGAAGGTAGTACAGATCGCCATTGAGAGCGTTTAGCTTGTCAGGGCGGTTGAGTCTCACGATCGCTACGCGATCTTGGTAGGTAACGGTAATGATTTGTTCGTTCGACATTGTTACAGTATATTGTAGAATATAACTGTTCAATGGAATACGCAATTGAAGTGGGATTTAATGTTTTATTAGTCGTCTCTATGTAGGATATCCGGGTACAAAGGTGAGTTTGCGGGGAGCCGAGGCCCGCGGTGAACTACAGATTGGCGCCTGAGGCAGGAATAACACAATGTTTGTCTTGTTTGCTCAAATTCAAGTCATCACGCCCGTGACTGGTCCACAGGCCATGGCACCATTCGGCGATTGAAGATCAACCTCCATATCATCGCTGCTCTCTGTCTGCTGGAATTGGGCTAGATTACCAATTGAGCGCATCCCAAAAATAACATCGAACCTCAATACACACTATTAGCAATACTCGAAGCCCAAACCTCGAAGAAAAAAAGCATCGCACCAAACCCATACAATGTCGCAAATCTTCCGCAAGTTGCAGGGAGGCAACCTCGAAGTCCTCAAGGTGCGTAGCTAACGAGAAAGACTCTTGGGCAGGCAACACCAGCTCCCAGCTTCCATCGCCTATTCTTAGGACTAACGGAGTCCATGTAGTTCGGGATGTACGTCCTCTTCCCCATCGGCTGGATGTACTATTTTGGTACCAATCTCGACGACCGCTTTGCCACAAAGAACTTCTGGCCCACTGCTGAGCAATCGCACAAGATTCCGCTGGATAAGGCCGAGATTGACCAGGAACTGGCGCGTATGCGCATGGTGGATGCCATGAAGCGGGAGCGGAGACAGGCGGCGGAGGCACAGGCTCAGGCGCAAGCACAGGCACAGCTCCAGTCAACACAGAGTGAGCAATGAGGCTGCAATTAGCGGGTATTATTGAGAGGGGCTGGTGGCGTGGTCTGGAACACGACATGCGCTTATTGTCTAAGTCTCCGGAGGGGAAAGGGCCTTTGTGAAATCAGTCATTGATGTTCCTCTTCCCTCTCTTTTGGGGGATAGATAATGACTGAGGACAAGATTGGCATCTTCCCGGGGATTTACACATGTGCTGATGATTGGTTTACTTGTACAACACTCTGCTCTGGGCATCGAGGGCGTTCTGGGGTTTTCATTTTATGTTGCAGTATTCAACATCATATTACTTTTTTCTACCATTTATCATCTACATTTCCTGTACATCATTCTGTAAAAGTGTGCAAATATCAACTTCATGATCACGTTCCAATGATAACAAAAACTGGTATCAATCGACCACATAACTCTGCCTGGAAAAAGGCATATCTATACACAGTGTGGTGCAAATGACCCCCAAAAAAGAAAAGACAAGAATTAATAATAATGTAACCCGCCGCACTGCGACAATGCAAGCCATGGGAATGCCGAAGTTCCGATAACACAAGAACGCCGGCCGACAGAAAGAGTGGATACGAGGTTCCCTTGGACATGAAATTTAAAATTCCAAAGGGTATTAGACAGTTCCTCTCTTGGCAACGGAGAATGTAAATGCAAACATTATGCGTGTCGGGCTTTTATTCACAGTTCAGCCATGCGCTCGGTCGAGGTGGCCGCGGCGTTCTTTGCCGTCTCGTACATCATGTCCCCAATTTGAGTGGCCATGCCATTTTCGCCAAAGACTGAGCTGATTGACAACCGACCGGAACTGAACAACCGCTCGCCGGCCCAGTAGTAGTAGAGGCGGCCGTAGATGGCGCGGAGGTGGTCGGGCAGGTAAATGTAAGTGCCCATTGCGATCATACCGATGAGGCCAAGGAGTAGTGTGTCTAGAAGGGAATTAAAGGTCAGCATGGCGTACTAAGAGTATTTTGGACCGGAGACAGGCGCAACGTACTGAAGATGAACTTCTCGATCGGAGTCAGCATGTAGAGGGAGAAGGTCACCTCATACTGGTAGACCTTCAATCGCATCCAGCGGAAGAGGCTAGACACGGCCCAGATAATGAAGTCCATGATTGTGGGGTATTCAGAGGATTTATATGATGCTCCGGTCTTTCGTTGTGTGTTGTAGCTTGCGGTGCCGTTCGTTCAAAAAAAATTTTCCTTCCACCAAGTACCGCCGGGGACAAACGAGAGCAGCTGATCCCGGAGACAGTATGCAACACGAGCACTGTATGTAGGCCTGGCCGGATCGTGGAGTTGTGAAGGGGAAAAGTGAGCGATAGTGTTTCAAATCAACACGGCTCGGGAAGTGTTGACGTGAGGTCGCCGGGTATCGCGGGGATGTAAGCGATTGAGGGATGTTCGTTACAATTAGGAAGAGCGTATAGATACGAAGACGTTGAGGTGGATCGACGATAGAAGTAAAGAAGAGAGGGCGGATAAGAGTTTGTGAAGCTGGGGGAACTGCAAAACCCTTCCCCTTTCCGTGTTTGCCGCGAGAGTTTGTACCCAGTACACATGTTAACCCTTACTTCACGCCTGAGTTTCAAGTACCCAGTACTTCGTGTTTCAGAGTGTATAATCTGTACAATTTAGATGGCACATTAGATAGTATAATTCTACACATCTATGAATTGCATAGCATATCCTATGTATCTCCTCAATACATCTAACCATTTAAGCCATTGGTCTCAATTGTACGGAGTACTTCTGTCATGCCGTTGCAGACTACCTAGGTACAATATTGAGCGTAGATGTACTATTAGCTTCATATAAACATCAAAAGCAAAAGCATATCCAATGGCTTGGAACTTCCATTGACCTAAGCTACCAAGCTTAAATTCTTCAAGTCAGAAAACAACCCAAAGGATCCAAAAGAAAATAAAACTCCGAAACACCTGCGCATACTTCAAGCTTATCTCTTATCGCAAACCTCGGCGGCAATAACCTCAACCTTCTACAAACCACAGCACAAACAAAAGCAATGCTCTCTCGTCTACACTGGTGGGCATCGTCCCGAATAGTTGCAGCCCCGGTCCGACTCTTCAGCCAAACCCCCATCGTCCCCGCAAAGCCCCTCCCCCCACGGCTCAAGATCAACGATGCCGACATATCAATATCCTACCTAAAAGGCACCGGGCCTGGCGGACAGAAGATAGTATGTCCCACCCCCCCAATCGGATTCCTAGAATATACCCTACGTCTCCTCTTTCTCCTCAGACCCCACCGCCATCCCCAACTAGCAGACCAGAACTAACAAAACCTAGAACAAAACCAACTCAGCCGTCCAAATCATCCACAGGCCCAGCGGGGTGGTAATCAAATGCCAAGCGACGCGCTCACAGTCGCAGAACGCGAAGATTGCACGCTCGCTGCTCGCCGATAGAGTCGAGGCGCAGGAAAAGGGGGATAAGAGTCGGGTTGCGATTAAGGCGGCCGCCGCGAAGAAGAAGAAGGCTAGTAAGATGAAGAAGACGAGGAGGAAGTATCGGGAACTTGGGGAGGCAGGAAAGGAAGGGGAATTTGTTGAGGAGGAAGAGGACGAGATCAAGATTATATGGGATGACGATGTAAAGGAAGAGGGAGAAAGGAGGGAGGGTACAGCGGAGGTTGAAGATGAGTCTAAACCCGCTGGAGAATCCGGAAAAAGTACGGAGGCTACAACAGAGGTTGGAAATGAGTCTAAATCCTGTGGAGAGTCCGGAAAGATTGTATGATGTGAGCTCTAGGTTGCATGTGTTTTGGGATTTTGTATAGTAGGTCTACTGCATTGGTGTTTGAGCGTTTACTTTTAGAGATCTACAATCTCATGGATGTTCTTCTAATGGAAAATCAAACAAGCATTTATTTCATGGATCTAGTGTCTCATCGCAACATGCATATGGTGTAGTGGGTAATTGGGAAAAAATGATTGCATTGCTCTGAAGGAGAAAGCAAACGCACATAGGTTGAACTTTTTTAGTTTCTTGGAACAGAATGGGGTCATAGCAAAGCAACTAAGAAATGTAACTTGCCAGCACAGTCTTCGACTGGTCATCAAGGCGCTCCTGGGCAAATTGTGAAATGCGGCCATTCTGCTTCTTGTCGGCCTCCTTCAGGTATGAGCCCACCCAAGCCTTGAGGTCGGCACCAGTTTCGGGCCACGGGTCCTTCTGCTGGACACGGATGGTGTTCAGAGGGGTAAATCCAACACCGAAGGACATGTCTTCGATGTCTGCATCATTAATGAGATCATCCCTGCTGGCGGGCAGCGGCGGAAGCTCGAGGAGCTTGAGCAAGGCGGTACAGGTGAAGCCCCATCCCTTCTGGCTGTATCGAGTGGCAAAGGCCTCCGAGTTGGCAAGAGTCTTGGTGAAGGAGATGATAGCTGTCTTGCGATCCAAAGGCCGGGCAAGCTTCTGGGTTTCAGGAAGGATGACATTGACATAGATGGGGGTAAAGAGTCTAGGCATAAGTTAGCATATGAGCAATTTGCATAGGGTGAGGATACATACCCTTCTTGCACCTTGTCGGTGACCTGGATGACAAAGTCCGCGCTGTAGCCCTTGTTGTCCTGGGCCGAGATGAAGTGGAAGAAGCGGATAAAGCGAAGAGTCAGATTCTCTGTCTTTGAGTTCTGCAGACGCTGAAGAATGATCTGCATGATCATGACAAAGTAGTTCTCAAGGGCAGTTCTGGCGAAAGCGAAGTCAGATCATAGGAACGTGAACATTTGGGGCATGTGATACGAACGGTGGGAAGCTGGCAACAACTGTCTCCAGGAGATCAAAGCCAAAGCTCTCATTAGTCTTGGTAGAAACTAGTTTTTGGAAGATACCAAGGATGGGCTCGATCTGGTTGTGTTCAATGATGAACTGCGAACCACGGGGAATGATCGAGGAAAGTAGCCTGACCAAGGCAGGAATATTTCCCTTCGAGTCCCACATAACGGGCATCAGGATAGGGCCAATAAGCTCCTGGTAGTAGGAGGGAAGGGTGCCGGATGGGTTGGCCTCGAGCAGCGCCGCAAAAAGCTGGAAAACGTAGGGCATGAATTCTGAAATTTGTCAGTAAGGGATCATTCTGACAAGGATATCGACTTCGTTTTGTTTTGACTCACCCTGCACATCATTCTGGAGGACACCTGCGAATGGTGCATAAAGAGCCTGCTCGAGCTTGTCGGGATTGGCAGGAGCAGCAAATCTATCATGATGTCAGCTTCTAGCACTTGGTAACGAAAAAGGATATTGTGTAAGAACATACCGGATGAAGGCTCCCAGGGCTTCGAAGTGGAAGTAGTAGAACCGTGGGTTACTTGGGTTCGCGCTGATGATATTGGTGATGTTAATGAAGCGCTGGAGGACGACGTCAGTGAAAGGCACCACGCCCTCCTTGATGACAACCAACACCCGCATCACGCAACGCATCAAGAACTCATTCTCTTGCACTTTTTCAGGAGCAGGATCACTCTGGATCAACTGGAAGATGTGTTCGAGAAGATCCTTAGCAAGCGGGGTGATTTCAGTGGGTGGAATGACTGGCTGTCCTTGGTTGTCAGTGAGGAAAAGCACTCGCTCCAAGGCAATGGCAGCGTAGGTGTAGACAACAAAGTTCGACGACGCCAAGTGCTTCACCAGCACAGGGAGGACCTGCTGCCACTGTTCCTTGGTGATGATACTGCGGAAAGTGTACAGATACTTGATAGCGTCGACCTTCAGGATAGGGTGGACACCATCCTCGTTGATCAGATCCGCGGCGAGGTTCTGCTGGAAGTAATCCGTGATACTGACCAGCTGGTTGGTGGCAGTGACACCGTGCGAGGAGGTCGCGGTGCCCTTGGCGGCAATAGCGGAGTAAAGGTACGTCGCTGTATCCTTGGCCTTCCAGTTGGACGAATCCTTGGCATACTCGGCCAGGTAGTGCTGGGTATACTTGAGGACAACCTGTGTCACTGGCTCTTCGAATTTCTCTGCCAGTTTGCGGAGGAAATCAGTGGCAGCTCGGCGTCTGGTCTCGCTGTCGGACCCTTCCAAGTCCCGCCGAATGAACTCGATTGGCTCATCCTCGAAGAGTTCTTCGTCGGACTCGCGGAGGCTCACATTCGGCAAAATGACCTTTTCAACAATCTGGCCTAGGGTTTCCTCGGCTTGGAAAGAAGCGGCATGCTCGGGCATACCCGCGACAGATGTCAAGAAGTGCAATGCTCGGCTGACCAAAATATCATACTTGGTCTCCTGGCCGATGGTTGTGAGGAAGTTCCACGAGCTCCCAATGAACTGTCCAACGTGAGGCTGGAACACATCCATGTATTTCTGCACGTAGAGGGTCAAGGCCTCAAAGATTCCAGCACGAACATATTCTAACGGACCAGCCTCTGTCTCATCGTCGGTGTGGAGTAATTGGTTATCATAGGTCAAGTATTTAAGGAAGATTGTGGCGATTCCGGAGATATTGTCTTCGAACATGGGAGGGAGATCGTGGGAGGAAAGGTCGTAGAACAGCTTGACCATCAGGTTGAGCTGATTAAATCCCTGGGTCAGGTTCTCTTTGTTGGTCTTGTTTTGCTCAAGGTAGGTATCCAGTGCCTATGTTTTGTTAGTATTCGGCCAGCCGAAGCAAAAATGGGTAAAAAGTAAGATACCTCAAACTGGGCCAGGAACGGAGTACCGAACTTGCCAAGAACGTGGTTGATCTCGGTGTAGAGTGCATCGGACTGGAACAAAGGTCTCCATCTCTTGAAAATTGAGTGTGCGACTTGCAAAACACCAATGTTGACGGTGGGGTTGCCAGGTGACAGCTTCGAGACAAGGTCCTGGAGAAAACATGTCATCAGAAATAGCATTACAATGCGTGGTTGAGTCGCAACTTACGTCAACGAGAGTATCCCATCGCTCCCAGAAATCACTGTCGGCGATCACACTAACAGCCTCACCCAACTGGCTCTGAATCCCTGGCGGAACCGAGATCATCAGGGAGATCAATTCGCGCTTGAGAGTGGTAACTTCATCTTGTTGGAGCTTGTAGTTTCCATCTTCGTCGGTCCAGTTGCGCTTGATGAAGTTCTTGAAGCATAGAGCGCTAGCAAGGCGTGTGTTGTAAGGTGAAGTCTCCGATGCAGTAATGTGAAGAAGCTGTAGCGAGAAACCGGGCTTCTGTTCTTCCTGACGAAGAGTAATCTCGGCTGAAAGAGGGAAAAAAACACATCAGTCAACTCTGCTTCCAGCAGTCGAGGATCAATTCTTATAACTCACCTGCCTTGTTTTGCCTGGGGTCCAAGCTTGCCTCTAACAGAGCTCCAAGACCCTCCGCCATCTTGTTACGTGGGGTATCAACACAAGTGAGGGGGATAGATGAGGAAAGAGAAAGACACAAAGAGATAGATGGGGACAGAAAGGAGTTAAGTATTCAGGGGACTCAAAGGGGGAGCAGGAGTGTTGACAACAACAGAAGGAAAAAGATAAAAGATCCAAAGCTCAAAGATAATAATGCGAGCGCTCAATAAATTGTAACAACCCACATAAACACTGCAACTACGCTAAACCCGATAGGGTTAGTACGTCACATGCTTGAGCCTCCCTATGCCTCAGGCATCAAGTCTGATATTCTGAGCGCGTGTTTTGTATAGAAATATAGAAAATATTATAATTGAAGAGTAGTATATTATGTATGTGGTAAATATTTTTATTTAATTCTCTATATTCATATGCTTTTCGTGACAAATACAAACTCCTGCGGAACCATCATTCGGAACCATTAATGCTTAGACAATAATGTTGCCAATGCCGTTAGCCAAGTCCATCTCCTTGGCCTGAGACAAAGCCTGGACCTGGTCGAAGCAGCCAGCTGCGGCGGAAAGGAATCCGAGGAATGGCTTGCTGGGTGCCAACACACGAGAAATGTACTCGGGGTGGAATTGAACGCCCACGAACCAGGGGTGCTCCTTCAGCTCGACAATCTCCATGCGTTCACCCTTATCATCCTTGCCGATGAAGTGAAGACCGGCAGCCTGGAGCTGATCGATATACTCGGGGTTAACTTCATAGCGGTGGCGGTGGCGCTCATCGATAGAAGTGCGGTCCAATCCGTAGAGAGAACGGAGCTTAGACCATTCGGAATTCTCCTGGAAGATGGTAGGACGGGAACCAAGACGCATAGTACCGCCGAGGTTCACCTGGTCGATCTCAGGCATGTACACCACGATCGGGTGGGAGGTAAGCTCGTCAAGTTCAACCGAGTTGGCACCCTCGAGGCCACAGACGTTACGAGCGTATTCAATCACGGCAATTTGCATACCCAGGCAAATACCAAGGTAAGGCTTATTCTTGGTACGGGCGTGGTGGGCAGCGCGCATCATACCATTGGTGCCTCTGGTACCGAAGCCTCCTGGGACCAAGATTCCATGGGCAGTGTGGACATCATACCAGGCCTTGTGGTACTCCTTGGAGTTGGTCTCCTCCCACTCGGTTTCGAGGTGAGAGGCATCGACCCAAATGATGTTGAGCTTTCGGCGGGAAGCCATAGCCGCATGCTCCAACGACTTGATGACAGACAAGTAAGAGTCGTGAAGACTGACATACTTTCCAACCAGAGCAATGTTGACAGTTTCAAATGTGTGCTCCTGCGCAGTCGTAAGGGTCTTCCACTGTTTCCAAGTGGACTGACCCTTGAGCAACTGAGTCTTGGAGATTTCGAGCTTCTTCATGTTGAGAAGGTCACCCAGAACACCAAGGAAACCTTGCTCCTCGAGAAGCAAAGGAACGTGATAGGTAGAGCTGACATTATGCACTCCGATCACTTGCTCTGTCTCGACCTGGCAGAACATGGCGATCTTATCAATGGTGGCCTTGTCAAGCGGTTTCTCGCAACGGCATGCAATAAGATCTGGGCTCAAACCAGCTGAGCGAGCGTCACGGATAGCCTGCTGGGTAGGCTTGGTCTTCAATTCATCGTGGATGACAGGAACCAGGGAAACGTGCTAGAAAATAGTCAGAATTGTCTGGAATTGAATGGTCCGTTGGTTGAACATACGATCTGGACGAAATTGTCCTTGCCAGCGCGACGACGCAGCTGACGCAGAGCCTCAACGAAAGGAGCACTTTCAATGTCACCAAGTGTGCCACCAAGCTCGATAACACAAACATCCGGCTCCTCGTTGGTATCGTCGGCGGGGGTTCTAGCCACACGCTCAATCCAATCCTGGATGGCGTCTGTCAAGTGCGGCACAATTTGCACCGTGCGTCCAAGGTAGTCACCGCGGCGCTCCTTCTCGATCACATGCTTGTAGACCTTTCCGGTTGTGATGTTGTTATCCCGCCCAAGGGTAACTCCAAGGTAGCTAGCACGCAGAATATCCATTAGTCTCGGGTTGTTCGATTTCCTATAGACCCATGGAGAGAAGAACCTACCGCTCGTAGTTTCCGAGATCAAGATCCGCTTCACCACCGTCGTTCAACACAAACACCTCTCCGTGTCTAGATAATCATTAGGAACAGCGTTCAGAAACGAGGACTGATCAACCACATACTCGGTAGGGGCCATGGTTCCCGCATCGACGTTCATATAAGGGTCGATCTTGATCGAGGTGACTCGGGCACCCTGAGTCTTCAGCAGCAATCCGGTACTCGAGGCTGGAGAAAGTTAGACTGAGCGAACTTTTTTTTAGTTCGATTTATAGAGGGAGTGTACCAATTACGCCCTTTCCGATGCCACTGATGACACCTGTTATATGTGAGTCAGTCACTGCTTGTTCATAAGAGATCGACTCAGAATAAATACCTCCAGAAACCACAACGTACTTCATCCTGGCGATGATGGGGGATGAAAAACCCGACTGGGACAAGATATGTAAGATTTGATATTGAGTTTAAAAAGAGTGAATAGTATAACCAAAGACCCTCAAAAAGAAAAGAAATGTAGGGTGCCGTTCCTGGCTTCTGCCAAGGGGGAAGAAAAGAATGAAATAATTTTTGAAGCTGCGAAAAACCGCCTTTGCGTGGTCACCGCCACCCCACTTTGGTTGACTTTTCTGCCCGCCTGATAACTATGAGTCATGTGATCTGAGCGATATCAACAGAGTAGAGAAAGGAGATATGCGTCAGTATTGTCCAGGGATATGTAATCTATAGAACAAAACACCTTGGAAAAATTACATTCCACTAGGATGTGAGTACATTTGTGCGAATCTTCAAATCTTCCACACTCGTTCCTACATGTAGTAAAGTGCATAGTAATAAGTCTAAACTTAACCTTGTCCCTCACCGCCCTTTCTGCCATTCAAGCCGGGCGGTGTCTGACATCAGTACTAAGTACATCAGGTGATTGGGCTGGAATATCTTCATCTCCGGTGCGTGATCGATAGCCCCCCTCAGTCCACATCACATCACTTGCTTGTTGTGTCATCGTTCAGGTGGGGTACTGGTTCCTTTGATATCCATTATCCGATCTTGTAATCTCGGTCCAATTCACCATCCGCTGCCGATCAGAGTCGTTTTGCGCTCCGATATTGATCACCAATTACGTACTGTGGCAGCTTGCTAGGCATCAGTTCAGTCCCTGCATGTGCATTTTCTTGTTATAGGACTGCCTATGCAGTGAAAAGCTCTTGTTTGTTACTCCTAAAAGGTAAATATTCCCTCTCTGTCCTTCGATGTTACCTATCATGGATGATGCAATACTTGTACTAACTTGGCTATCAAATAGTTCGGACACCACGTCCTTCTGACTCTACTCTCTTTCTGCCACTAGGCGAATGTCTCCCGATGATGCTCCACCACTCTCCCAGCACAAACACTCGTCAACTAGCTTTGCAGATGTCTTCAAAACTTTAGGTGTCGGTCGACCCAAATCGCAATCCCCAGTCTCTTTACAAGAAAGCAGCAGCGACTCGCAGTTTCACACGGATAGTCGCGGAACAACTCGGCTTGGATACGGATTCGAATCAATGCATCGTGCCAGTGTCGTGTCGAGTTCCTCGGACCCTCCCAGTGTCCTGGATTTCGAGACGTCCCTCCACAATCTATCGCAAAGGCAAAATTTAACCCAGGCGATTGAGGAAGCGGAGGGTTTATCAAAAGGTCTCTCATGTTTCAACTCCGAGCAGTCCATATTGCTTTGGGAGGCGGCCGAGTACCTCTTGCGTCATGAAAGCTCGTTGGATGCGCAGCAAAGTGGTGCCCGATTATTAGAAGCGGTCGCAGCCCGTCAGGATCTGCCCCCGTCAGCTAGACGCCTGGTTTTTGAATCGATAACTTCTTCGACCGAGCCGGATGTGATTGCTGCGCGCGTGCAGTCATTGATCTCCTTATCAGATCATGGCAGGAAATTGGATTTCGCGGGTTCTTCAATTATCCATATAATCTCGTCGTGGATTGTTCCGTTCTATGAAACAATCGCATCTGCACGATCAAAGGCGAAAAAGGGAAAGGTGGTTAAGCCACACGGACCCGCTGACGATGAAGCAGTTTTTGGAGATCTCTTCCAATTTGCGGTCGACCTGATCACTTTGCAGCGAAAACAGCCAACCCAGGAGGAAATCGAAATGCTTCTCGCAGAAATATTTACCACTTGCAGGAGAACCAGTGTTGCGGCAGATATCAAAAACTCTTTGGCCGTGTTCGACGCTGTCATTATGTATGCCGATGTGCCTGATGTAAGCTTCCCAACTCTCCTGGAAGTCCTTTGCAGCATCCATGCATCAGTTAAACCGCTCTCTGGGCCCACATCGCGAGCGGTGCGCAGTTTAGCGAAGTCACGAAGACAGGCGGAGATGGTAAACACACTCCATGGCTTCCTAAGAGATTCGTGCGCCGTCGAAGGAGGTCGGAACTTGAATATTCTCCGTGGTACACTTTATGTGTTCTCGGATTTTGTTCGTGCTTATGGCCAAGATGGCATGCCCCAGCTTCCCTTTGATCAACTGATTGAATCATTGCAAGCCATTGCCGAAAAGGACGACGGGAGAGTGGATGCTGATCTGTTGGATCTGTGTCTAAACATTCTGGAAGGAGACTATGTCCGAGTCGCATTAGAACGGGATTGGATGGCATTCGCCAATCTTCTCATACTTTGTTCTCGTAGGCTCGTGGATGAGTCAACACCATCCCCCACTTCTCCGACTAGCCCTCAGCTTAAGCCTACGTACGACGAAACCAAATCCTACATTCTGGCAAATCTCATTCGCATTGCTTCTGTGCTTGAATCTCAGTGGGAGCAACTCAACAGAGAGCAAAAGCAACATGCGGTCCGGTTCCTCATGAAGATATACCAGCATATTGAGCCCCCACAGGCTGAACTTATCATTCATTCGATGAGAAAAGACAAAATTTGCCATCCTTCAGACAACTTCAATTGGGCTCAGCATTGCCGTGAGCTGGTCGAGTGTTTTGTTCAACCACGAAAACAAAGCTCGGACATCCGCATCCTGGCTTTGGACACGTTGAAAGAAGCCCTTTCTGCTCATGAAGACTTGCTTTTCTCCCACGAGCACGGCCTGCTCGGGCTTCTATTGAAGGATTTCTCGGCAGAACATGATCTTCTCTTCCTGGAGTCCCTAGTGTCTTTGTTAACCGACCAGGCTACACAATACAGTGATGATGATACGTTCAAGTTGCTGGTAAGCACCATCGGAGCGCCGATACAGACGGAGCTCAGTCGAGACGAACCACACGAGCATCCTCCGAGCCACGGATCTCAACGCCGTACATCCACTACAAGTGTCTTGGAGTTAAGCTTGACAAATGTCTGCGCTGTGGGCCTCGTGAAGATGATGCTGCGTGCCTTAAACCTCTCCTCAACCAAAGCCGTGATGGTTTTTGAAGCACTTCTAGACATTGCTCAATCTCCAAGTCGACCTGTTGACTCACGTCTGACAGTCTTAAAGCTACTTTTCCGGCTACGATGTGATTCGGCTGGATCAGTCACAGTCATATCAACATCGGAGAGTGACTTCTTGATGAACGTGCTGGGTCGCAATCTCGATGGTGGCTCTAAACTACAGGCCCCCAGCGATAGCCCCACTCGCGAGATTCCCCAGCATGATAACTCACAAGTCTCGCCAACCGGAAAAATTCCATCGAGAGAGTCTACCTCGACCCCTATGTCGAGGTCGGCCCCGGGGCGAGGGTCTATCTCTGCCCGTGGATCAAGGCTGACTGCCCCAGTGTGGACATATGCTCTGCCACAGGTGCTTCCGGAGCAACCTCCTGGCGAATCTAGTCCTGTCGTGTTTGCTTACGCCCATCCGGAGGAATCTGCCCCCGGCGAATCAACAACAACAGAACCAAAAATTACGGGGCTGTTGAAGGTCAAGATGTGGCTCGAAGTTGTAATCACCTTGTTGCAACGAGAAACCGACTGGGATGTTTACAGCTACATTCTTACTCATATTGGACCTCAACTCGGCAACAAAGACTTTTTCAGAGATGCCATCCCTCAGATCACGCTCCTTCGCAGCATTTTATGTGATCAGGTCAAGAATGGAACTTTCCACGAGCCTCCCGAGACTACCGGACTGAAAAAGAGCGATGTGGCTGCCTGTATCTTCGATGCGCTTTGCATGCTTGTGAGCTATCACGCACACTTTGCCAAGAGCGAAGAGGATGACCTCGTCAGAGCTTTCATGCAGGGTATCATCGGATCATGGGGTGGCACATCTCGTGGCTGCATTCAAGCACTGTCACTCTGCTGCTACGAAATCCCTATGTCAGTCACGAAATCGTTGAACAGCATTCTTGATAGGATGTCAAAGGTGATCACCATGTCAAACATTGCTGTCCATATCTTGGAGTTCCTGGCTCTACTTGCACGATTGCCTGATGTTTACGTCAACTTGCGTGAGGAAGAGATCCGCACTGTGTTCGGCATCTGCATTCGATTTTTGCAGACATCTCGAGAACATCGGTATAAAGCCGCTGAATTGGCTGCAAGGGCCTCTGTGTCAACCCAATCTCCTCAGTCTAAGCTCGGTGGCGGGGCAAAGGAAATTTCCGCCCTTGCACCTGAAGCTATCGAGACCTCCCAAGATGGAATGTCCAAGTATATCTCGAATCTCACCTACCATGTCATGGTCTTCTGGTTCTTGTCTCTGAAGCTCCAGGATCGACCCAAACATGTGAATTGGATCACCAGCAGGCTCATATATCACGACGAACATGGAAAAGAGGTGGTAGAAGAACAAAGCCAAGTATTCATTGATTTGATGCAGCGAGTTGCTTATTCGGATCTTGGAGAGACCATCCCCTTCGAAACATTCCCCCCTTCCTCTGAGGATGGCCCAGTTGCAAGGAAGTCCTGGATTGTCGGCATGAGTATCGTCACCGTCGAGAGCGCCGGATTATCTGGATTGTCCCAGATTACGAAGCGCCAGGCATCGGGTACCACATACTCTGTCTATCAACAGCGGACAGCCCCAGTTCTGCCGCATCAAGTCCCTCCAACTCCAGATGCCCATTTACATTCCGACTCCATGCGCACGGCAGTCCTTCCAAGTCATATCATGCTTCAATTGACCGCCACTGCCTTCCCTACACCTACGGTCATGCAGCCCATCCCAGTTCCGGAAGACGATATTACTCGACGTGCAATTAGTAACTTTGACCGCACCGACATTGTGGATGGTCACCGGATCGGCATTGTTTATGTTGACAATGGCCAGACAAAGGAGGCGGAAATCTTAGCCAACACTGGTGGTTCTGCGGATTATGAAAACCTGCTGTCAGGATTGGGAACCAAAGTGTCACTTCGGAACCCTCAATTCAATCCGCAAGGGTTGTATGCTGATACTGACGGAGAGCACACCTACGCTTGGAGAGATCGTGTGACTGAAATTGTGTATCATGTTGCAACAATGATGCCTACGGACTTTGACCGTGACCCGGCCTGCATCAACAAAAAACGAAACCTCGGCAATAACCATGTCACCATCGTGTTCAACCGATCCAACTTGCCCTTTAACTTTGACACAATTCCATCCGAGTTCAACTCTATCAACATTATCATCACCCCGTCGTCTCGGATTGCCTACGACGAGAGTGGCAATTACAATGGCGAGACAGACCCGCAAAAGCTCTACTACAGCGTGCAGGTCATGAGCAAGCCCGGATTTCCAGACGTCTCACCTGCTGCGACACCGAAGGTCATATCCGGCAAGAATTTGGCGGCATTTGTTCGCATTCTTGCCCTCAATGCGTCCGTCTTCTCGCTTGTCTGGAACAACAAGGGAGGCGAGCATACCTCGTCCTGGACCACCCGTCTGCGGGAAATCAAGAAAGTCCGCGAGCGTGCTCTCACAGCCCAAAGCCAAGGCTCTGAGGCCGCCGAAGGCGCTTATCCAGGTCTACGGCGGAACACGAAAGCGAACATCTTCTCGGAGGAATTACCTTCTCGTGCCCCTCAAGTACAGACCGATTTTGCTGCGGAATGGAATGCAGCGGCAGACACGAACATTGTCCAGAATTTAGATTTCTCACGCTGGGCCCGCTGATTCGTCTTGCTTGCCAATAGTCTTAGTGATGGCAATGTTGGGCAAGATGAACTGTGTCTCTCTCGTCTTCTCCTTTTACTGCCTGATTTACAAGACACCCATTTTCTCCTCTCACTCACTCCCATCCATTCTCTCCTTGTCTTACACCACATTCCCCTCTCAAGACACATAACCGAATCCTTTCCTCTCTCGATGACCAATGACCCCCAGAAACGACTTCATGTACATCATCTTGTGTTTTTTCGTGATGCAAGACAACTGTCGCATTTGTGAATACCCCCTTCCTGCCCTAAAAGTGTTTTTTTCAATGTTGTCTTGCCTGTCAGCGACTGTCGTGATTAGGATTAAGGATCTATCTAGTGAAATAAATCAGTTTTTAATACTGGACTTCACATGATGCTTTCGTTTTTACCTATTATAACCTATGTGGCTCGGATACTAGGCCTTTATCATCACTATAACCTCAAGTACTATCTAGTAGTGGATAGGCCACTGTCAACATCCCGAGAGCCTACCAGGTGACATGCCAAGACAATAGTAAATAACATAGCTATAGCCTACAACACATGTTGTACATCAGTTGCTTGTGGAAACAAACGGTGTTTCTATATCCTAGCGGTATGATATGAAAGAAAGTGGCTCCGCGTTGTGTGTAATCAATCCAGTTAATTCCGTACACTGTAAAGGTGCCTTTCTCCGCGTGCTAGCTTATTTGCACTTTCCGAAGGGCTTGTCAGCCAGTTGCTGTTGTAGAATGGAATTAACATCTTCTTCTGGCTTTCACAGTATCATATCCGGGATCATACCACGCAGAGCTTAGATTCACAGTTACCCAAGCTTCCATCCTGCTTGCACTGTCCTCCGGAGGGGATCTATAATTGAATTAGGTCAGTTGAACGGAATATGATAGGTATGAAAGGGCTCATACGGAGTTAGCCATGGAAAGGCCGACAAGGGCGAAAGCAGTGAGGATGGTGAAACGCATGATGATAGAGGATTTGGAGGTGAATGAGGATTGTTGGAGATTGTAGGAGACTTGTCTGTTGCAATGTATCAATCCATGAGCACGGGGGCCTACTTATACCTATTTTTCTGGGATTCTCTATAACTGAGATCTTCTGGTGCATTACTCTGTTTGGTATACAATATGCTCATCCCGATTAATTATCCCGATTAATTATAGACGGTCAATTTGGGGATTTTATGGGTCTGCAGAAACCTGATGTCGATCAATGACATGGTTGGACACATCAATTGCTCTTCGTCCCTAATCAACAGTTTTCCTGAGGGAACAGGTCACCAGTACACCATAGACAAGGTCCCTTTTGTAAAGTTTATACGATATTCAATATGTACAAGAAGTACTATGTACAAAGAGTAGAGGGCCGCGTATGCGGCCTTGTGATGTCTTTTTAGTAGTCTTCTTACAACATAGATGTCTTTAAGATATTTTCTCCCCCTGCTCAGTTGTGTAGATAGACAGCAAATAAAAGTATACTTTGTGTTTATGACTTTTCTATGTATAACCTTGAGTATATATGTAACTATGTGTACCGGATTTTCCCTGGCAGGTGGGGTTTTCCTATTTGGGCTGCCGCCGCTTTAATGCGGGCGCTCAGACTCAGGCTCTCAGAGTAGATATCAGCACGAGCTTATAGTCAGTGATAAGCTCAGCCTAGTCACGTGTATGATGACTGATTGTATGCAGATGCTTATTGGATGCTCACTGATTACTTAGTGACACTCTGTGTCTAATTAGTGAGCTACTCTGATTACTCAGACTATGCCTTTAATAGAACAGCCCTATAGGGCCGTTTATACTGTGATATCTAGTTCGATAATAGTATCGCACCTGCCCTCATTTTCTGAACCACCCCGTCTTATTAGGAACGTACGTTATAACCACGGGGCACGGAAAAAAGTGGAGGGCTTTATCTATTTTAGTGATATTGCGGTTGTGAGTAATTTAGCAGATAGAATATTATAGCCTAATAGTAGTGTGAGTAATTTAGCAGATAGAATATTATAGCCTAATAGTAGGTTATAATATTTTATAGAGGAAGTAATATCTTATATAATATGATTATATAAGATATAGTATTGAAGGTTATACTTATCCTCCTAAATAGGAGATAAAGATATATGTATATGGATGAGAATATATTAAGAAGTATATTATTATTCTATTAGAGAGTAGACTGTCACCCTTTTTATAGACATTTTAGGAGGCAAATATAAGATAATATAAGATATCATATTATCTCACGATTTATGGCGATTTAGAAGTGAATCATAATATAGTTTACCACTATTAGTATATCCTTAGATATAGTAATAGTTACCAGTAATTTATATATGATATCCTTCACACCATTATACTCTACTATAATATACTATTATACCAAGAATATATATACTAGTTTCTTATATATATAGATATTTTAGTAAAATTTATAGATATTGTAGATTAAAACTGCTATTTTACATAGAGTTAGCAAAATAGGTGTAAATAACAGTTATTTATTATACAAAGTCAGCGAGTTATACGTCCATTTTAGGTGACTTTATGCAATGGTGGGTATCGTAGGCATGCCCGCCGTAGGCATGCCCGTGGGCCTTAGGCGTTATAGACGGGCACTCGAAAATCCAAATAGCCCAAGGCCCACCGTGGACAGGCCTTGGGCACCTCCTAGGTGCCCATGGACGGGCGATGTCGCAGTCTAGGTAGAAGCCATCATTGAGAGCCAGGGGTGGTATACTGCATACTAGATCTATAGTATTAATATATGGAGGTTTTTGACCGGCAGTAAATTATATAATCAAGGGGGTGTGGGGCTGGGGTGTTAAAACTTATGAACAGTCACTGTACGTTGTATATAGTAAGAAATTAAGGTGTGGGCCCAAACATTTAGCACGGACCTTATCTCTGTTAGGCTAGAGTGGGGCCCACTGTGTGGGTCTCTCTCTATTCCCGAAAGGGAAGATTGTGCGACAGCTTTCCCAGTTTTTGGAGGTCGGTCTCGCATTCTCCATCATAAAGCTACCCCGCACCTATTAGTGGAATCTGACTCGTTAGCAAGGCTGAGGTGGTCATCCATCAACAAATATCACATTCCAATCTCATCTAACTTGCCATTCCACCAGCATGCATGAGTACAGGTCACGTACATTGTAAAAAAGGCCCAGGATTATACACAAAATCTTACACAGTAAAAGAAAAAAAGCTATAATAACAAGAACTGAAATTTGACATAGGATATCATGCACCAATGAAACCTCCGCGCGTGTGTCTGGAACTTGGTTCTAGGTTACCAGGTAGCTCTTGACGTTGTCCAGTATTGGTCTGAAGCTCATTGAAAATGGCAGAAGGACCAGGTAATTCGCTCCGTGCTTTGCTACCCGTTTTTGAATCAGTGGAGCCAAACCCAGTATAAGATCCGAATACCGCATTTGAATCTTTAGGCGCTGCGGAAGCACTTTCAGGATTGTTCCGTGGTCTTGAGAGAAGACGCTGCATGAACCATATTATTCCCACGATTATAAGAGCACCAAAAAAGCCTCCGAGGGTGGCACCAGCGATTAGACCTTTATCTGTGGAGGACCTTGTTGCTGAATTTGTTGGTTCTGGGGAGCCTGTTTACGTGTCAGTTGTGAAAAGCAGAGCCGCAGAGGCGGTCAAAAAAAGAGACGGGACGATAGCGTACTTGAACACGTGCCTGTCTGGGTCGCACTGGTCCATGTATTGTTGTTGTTTATGGCCGTCTTCGTCGCACAACCATACCAGTAACGTCCATTTATGAAGCCTGTTAGCTGCGGCTCGCAGCAGAAGTATCCCTTTGCCCACCAGAGAGTCCAAGTCGAATTGGCGCATTGCGCCGGAACTACCCCAGATCCAGTATTGGTATCAGGACACTGTGAGTTGGCCCCGTATTGTTCAGGCTTAGATAAACCTTCTGGGCAACAGCTGTACCAGTTGTCCCAGGTCTTAAAGCCTGGAAATTGCCCGCAAGAATTTTCTCGGCGGACTGGGTAGCCACCTTGGACTGTTGACGACATTTTATTTTTGTAATAGCGCCAGGTCGAGTCGAAGGATACCGGAACGGATAATGAAAAGACGAGGGACTCTTTTCAGTCCTAAAAGGAGGATCCAAGGGGTCAGCAGGGAAAAAGGGTTCTTGACCTCTGGGGCTTTTAAGTCTCTTGTAATCGTGAGAGTGGGCCCTCTTGCATGATAGTAGGCGGTTAGGCATGGTGGTATCCACCATCTATAGAAAGGATTTGCAAGCTGGTCATAATCACTACACCAGGCCAGGATCGTTATTGGCTGCAGACCCCTGGATCGTCCTTGGCCTTTCTTCTTAGGAAAGAAGTGCGAGTGCCCAGCACTGCCCTATCTCACTTGGTGCTGTTGGACCGTCTTGGCATCATATTTTCGACGCAAATAGTAGCGCTAAATGGATTGATCGAATGGGAAGTTCAACCAGCCATACAGATAATCATCCATTAATCGCGTCGAATCAACCCAGAGCGATACTTTAGAACGGAAATCTCATGCTAAAGACGTGTTTCCTGAAAATGGATGCCCGGAGGGGGCAGTGGAAAGATCTTTTTTTAAGGTAAGTCCCTTACAAAACATTCGGCTATATATAGGTGCAAACGACACAGTGAAAAATAGGCATCCATGAAACTCAGCTCCGGCCCCCTTTGAAGATCATGGGGGGGGGCGGAAGATACCTCTCCCCCATTCCCCTAAAGCCCAGGCCACCATGAGGCTCTCCGCTTACCCACTTCGCTTGATTCCGCCCATTTGCAATTGAACAGCTTTTACATCTATCCTAGTCACCTCTAGAAAGCCTGAGAAGTATTTTGTCGCCTCTGTATGCTCTTGAGCTTCTCTGGGCTTAGAGTCCTCCGGTTAGGGATTTTCTCCGTCGGCCCATGATGATTGAAATGACTTCACTCACTAACGTCCCAAACCATTGTGATACCAACCCCTCGCGGCCGTCAAGGCCGCCATCTAAAGCGAGCAACACGAAAGAATCCCCCGAGATCCGGAAACCCCCTCGCAGGTCTCTCTGGCTCTACTCGTGGCTATTTGAATAGACCACGCTAGCTTTCAGTGTTGCCTGTTTTGTCGATATATAGGCAGCCTCCACATTCCCTATACCTCATTGTATGGTTGCCGTAACAATGCTAGTAATTCATTGAGTTCCTTTCCCACTCATGACTTCCATACTTCAAGTATGGAGGCCTTCGATACCGCAGCTCAACACTGGATCCCTCAGACTGAATCTTCACGTTAACACAGTAGGCTCGAGCAGATTCAGGAATGATGCCACCCGGCTTTACTCCAGTCGACTCTATATCAATCAGTTTCTTTAAGGCCACAGTTGTCGCAGATGCCCAGTAGTCATCTTCGGATCGTTTGTCTATTATGTAAAAGATATCACGACGGACCTGCCAATCGCGACATTTGACCGCAGACCACAAGAGCGCAGGCAAAACGGAGTACCTATAGCTAAACGGCGAGATTGTGATGTCACTTAAACCTGTGGCCGAGTCTGCTAGGATTCGTGCAAGTTTGGTGATATGCTGAAACTGCTCCAGGTGATCATCGTAAACCATCTCATCTGGTGGTTGGCTTTTAGCGACACCCAGCTTAATTTCGATGACATCGATCAATAATGAGAAGACTTTTAGTGAATCGCAGTCCTCTGGCGCAATACCATCCAATTCGACGAGGACGGCTAGAAGATGACTTCTACAGAGCCGAAGCTTATTCAAGACTACTGCCGCGCCGCGGCCGATGGAGCTTGCTGGCTCAATATCAAACCCGGAAGTAGTGTGATCCAGTATGAATCCGGAGACGAGGGTTGAAAATTTTTGGATATAGTCCATCTGATCAATACCCGAATAGAGAGGCGGTGTGATCTTTGATGGGGCCGCTGTAGTGTTTGGGGATATCCGATATTCGCTATTGAGTTGTGCGGAATCCTTAACAAATAACTCGGAATGAGAGCAGAAGAACCAGTAAACGTGCATCTGGGAAAAAGCCTGTGTCAGGGCCAGACAAGTAGCATCGTTATCATGCTGGACATCCCATTCTTTGAAAAGTTTATAACCGGAAGCAAGGTGACGGCGAGCAGAATGGAGATCTCCCTGGAATAGATTAAGGAGAGTAAAAGTCAAACATGTGATTAACACTACTTCCTTCGCAGTGCGTCGTGAGCTGTACGGAGTGAGATCTTCCTGAGCAAGACTTTCTCGAAAACAAGCAATGGCTTTTGTAGAGTGCCGAAGAGTCATACTGGGGCCCCGATCTTCTTTATAGTTCATTGAAATCCGTTCCAACTGGGTATGCCACGCACTCATAGCGATTGAAGCATGACGGATAGCAGGATGATTTTCGCACATTTGGAATAGCAATCCTTGCCAGAATGAGTTTTGAAAGTAATGCGAGAGTCGTACTGCTATGCGGTTGTGGTAGAAATCCAGATACCATAGCTCGTCCCTGTTAAGGCCGATCTGGCAGGCAGTTGCCAAAGGCAGAGGAACGGCCGTTACCGATGGCCGAACTGTCGAGCAATATCGGTTTTGCAGAGCTACACTGTTCTGATTTTTGGGTTTGGATTCACGCCACTCGCATGCTCTCTTATCAACGGCTTGTTCATAACCGTCGCATTGCCTGCCTGTGCTCGTACATCGGGATTGACTGAGATTATGATTCTGCTTTTTTTCAGTGTTCAAATAGCGATCGCAATCGTTCTGCTTGTGGTGAATGAAGACACCGCTGTCTCTATCATACCCCGGGCATTTGGTGCTCCTCCTCAGGCAGACTGCACATTGTGGCTTTTGCTGGTCGCACTGGATTTGGAATGTTAAAAATATCGGCGAGTATTGATGAAGTTCATCACTAACCTTGACCTTTCTCTGTCTGCAAGCATGGCACCCTCTCGATTCGAATGGTTTGCCACCCATTATCCCCGGTCAAATCTTCAGTTATTGGTTGAAGATAACAGGTTGAGTTGAAGCGTCCAGGCGGTACAGTAATTATGCAATAGCGGTTGTGTGGTCCAAAATCTAACAGAAACTTTGCGAGTCAGCTAGAGAGCGGATAGATGACCAGGAATCGTACGAGCGAATCCACCAAACTACTTGACTGCTTGGCGCGGAGCTAGTCTGCGGTCAAAAGTCGGTGGGAGGCGGGGAAAGAGTCACATCTCTTGGCATCTGCGAATCGCCATATTTGTGGACACGAGTAGAAGCCTTGCTTTTTTGTACCCTAAGTGAAGTGACGACTTGTATGTTTCAACTCAACATTCACATGCGTCATAAATGCGATGCGTAGGGACCTGGGCAAAATGCGAAGCAAGGGTAGATCCGCAATCTCAGCCGCAATCTCGCACTTATTTCCTGAACAAGAAGAAGCAACGACGATCTTCGCGTTTGGCTTTGATTGTCCTTAATGGGCCCTTCAATCCGCGGCCTGGATTTCATGATGCTCAACCGCATGAATTTGTCTATAAGCTATCTACCATTCTCAAAGAGGTCTTTGCTAGATACATGGGCTCTTAAATCTTTACCTAATATACGGTAGAAATACGGGTGACGGATATGAGGTTTGCCTAGTCTCGATATCATGTTATTTAAGCTCATCGCTGGTCCCTCTTTTTTGGAACTGGCCTCGTCTTTTAGATGTGTCAGTCACAAAAAGCCCTTCCTAAAAGGGTATACACCCTGTTAGTCTAGCGGCAAAATCATCTGATTTCCGAAGCGACCATATGCCTTCCTGCTGAATCATGCATGCGTAAGCATCCAGCACAAGCCAGATGGGTATCCCTGTCCCTCTACAGAGGCACGAATGGGCCTCATGTGTAGCTCAGCTGAAACAGTCGAACTGAGGGGTGGTATTTTACCACTAAGGACAGTATAATTCACCAAGTACCCATTCTCTTTGTCTTTGTATGGTAATCGGGGTATTATCGGAATACCAGCGTCGTAGTAGGCTAGGAATGGCTCCTGGGGTCTGACAACGCTTCAACAGCGAGATCCAGCTAGAACACATATCAATGCATCTCAATAGAACACCTCAATACTAGCACACACCAGTATCCATCAATCCGACAGGATATCCTCGCGTGCATATAAGCGGATAAGTGAGGTGATTCTATCAGCAGGCAACTCCAGTGGTGCATAGGCACCTCCTCTGCATTACCTATACGGTTATACCTCGGTCACTCGGTGTATTGTTGGCGTAACATAGAAAGTAAGGAGGGTTAGTAGAGATGAGATTGAGTGGAATAAAGCGTTGCTTTGGAACAGGGACGCAGGATAAATTGAGCATGCACATTATATACCTTATAAGACGATAGGACTTACATGGCTTTACTATTGCCTGTAGATTACTCTTCCGAAGGGCCGAGAAAACGATCCTACCATGACTATAGAGGTTGCGGAGACCCAAACTACTCCATTTGTGACGTACTATAGTTACGAAGGAAAGCTCTTAAGACGTCCTGCTCTAGGTTCTCTTGATCAAAAATCATTCTCCCAAGCTGCTACTAACTGTGAGAACCGTTGGGCTAGTTCAGAGGAAGCCTGATGGGTACCATGGGTTAAAGGGTCTAGCCTGCATTCCCGCCAAGCACTCGCTGAGCTTATTTGTTAAACTTTTATAGTGTCCAATCAATTGCGGGATTTCACTCGACTTCTCTGTATCCTAATTTGTTCACAGTGCATGCCCCCGCCAGTAATGCCGCGTGTTCCCGACCGCCGCCGCACCTTAACAAACTGTAGAATTAGGGTTTTCGCTAGTTACCTTCTTTTATCATACACACCGATGATAGATATCTCGAATATTCAAAGAAAGAAAAATTAGAATCCCCCCACTCTCCCCCTTAAAAATATCCCTATTATAAGGTTTCTCATATGATAGCCAGATTATGCTTAATCAGCTTATGTAATGATCCGTGAGCTGGCCGGAGTGTTCAGGGGCGTGCTCAATTTTACTCTGAGATCAAAAAGCGGCAAGAGGTGAGCACTAAAATGGAAGGGGAAAGGCTTCGAGTGCCAGGCATTATCCGGTACATATGTGCTATTTGATCATGTGACCTCTACTTTGCTTCGGTGTAATGCCGGATGTTGGGGACTATAATATATGCTAATATGGAGTATATAGACGGCAATGACAAACGTACGTTCCAATTGTGATCTTTTGACCTACCCAGCCCTGGAGGTGCCCAGGTGGTTAAACGCTCTTATGTGATCACTCAGGTGTAGGTAAGTAGCAGCCCCGGGTGAGTTCCTGTCTATATATAGATTACACCAGGGCTTAATTATTTACTTCTTCAAAACTGTCTTCTCTCCTACACTGGATATTTCCAGATCCCTGTTATCAGTACGGAGTAGTTCTAGATCTATCTCTCAAATGCACTCACATCGTGAACAGGCCACTTAATGTAGTTGCCTAGTAGAACCGTTTAATATGTACATTATATGAACGTTGCATTACAGTTTCTAGAAGCGAAAAAGATTCGGTCTCCGGAGAACTAATCAAGACCTAATAATAGGCCACTATATCCGACATAGGGCTGTACATATCCGTGCCAAGACACGCGGAGCCATCCGAAGCGAACCGCCAGGGGCTTAGCACAACGATATACGCATAACACTATAAAATAGTATCTAAAATAGTCCAAAAATAGATATAAAGAAGAGCTCAGAGTATAGTTGTCCAACCACAATTCATTCAGCAGCAGAGCCCCCTTCAAGCCCCATCAAGCATCAGACAAGAAACTCCACCCCTGTAAACGAAGTGGAACCATCAGCTTCTGCAATATCAAAGCTTGAAAGGGTTCATACTCAGCTTAACATAGCAATCAATGTCAATATAGGAATTATTTAGAGGTTTATACTTCAATATATATTGTTCCCTCGACTTGGAAGCACAGAATGGCAAGATCATTTTTCTTCAGTCCCATGCTTCTTCAATATTACAACCCACTCTTGCTGTATTTTCATACTATCTCTCTCGCTGGCTATCAAAATGTCACAAAAACCATTAGTCAATGATCAGCCTAAACCTCTTCCAGTGGTAAGTGATTTTTATAATTGTCACGCGAATAAGCTAACCCTACTCCAGTGTGACTCGTGCTTCTCTCGAAAGGTATGAATTGAACCTCATTACGATAAGATCGTAGTTTCACTAACCAAACCTAGGTCCGTTGTGACAGAGGCAACCCATGTGGTAACTGCCAGGACAACAATACCATATGTTCTCGTCAGCGAGTCATAAAGCGAACCAGAAACCCCACGCATCTGGCAGTGATGGAAAATAGAGGTCGAACACGCCAAAAATCACCCCAGCCAACCCTAAAGCGTCACGATTCACAAAATTCATCATCAGGACTGCACGATCATTCTGCAACCACCAACAGATATCCCAGACTGGACTATCAACAGTCTCGCGGGGTATCTCTGGGTCCCGAGAAGCCTCTCTCGCTTCATGATGCTCATGCCACCATTCAGTATCACCTAGACCATCTGGACTGGCTCCCCATCAACCGCCACCAGATTTTAGAATCGGGGTTGAGCCTGGCTTCTCAACTCTCAGGCACTTTTGAGGACCCTGTGCACGTTGCCGGTGATATCACTGTCAATGAAGAGCAAATGGCTCCCCCTTCTGCTGAATTATTAGCCTGGATGTTAAAAGGTACCTATCTTGTCACTTTGTAATTGGTATTGCTCAGTCAATGAGGATAGCTAATTCTGATATCTTTCAATAGACCTCAAGGAGGCAAGACTTGGCTCGTTTGTTAGGGATTACTTCAGACACATATCTGAAGCAACACTCGAGAAAATGGGACTTACTCTCATTCACAGGACTGGATCGCCCCACGACTTGCTCATCAGCACTGTTTGCGTCAATGCCATGGCCTCCAAGTTTCTGACTGCCATCAGCAACGCTGGAATCGACAGTGAACTGATCCACGAACTGACATATAGCGTGACGCAATTCCAGCTGGCAGCAAAAGTAGCTCTTCAGAACATCTCTATCTTAACGAGTCCTTCGCTCGGACTCTTACAAGCGCTTCTTTCTGGTGTGAGTATTTCCAATCCCGGGAAGAATATATCGGATCTAATGAAATCAGATATTACTCCATCAAGGATCCGGAGACATCACTATATGCTGGGAGCTTACCAAAGCTGCCTGCAGGGTGTGTATAAGTTTGGGTCTTGACACTATCATAAAAACAGGAGGGCTTGTGAGTGAAGAGCAGTATTACTGTCTCGCTTGGTGCTATATACTGGATAAGAATTTTGCTTTCAAGATGGGAAGATCCAGAACTTTGCTTGATATTGAACTTCCACACATCACTTCCAACCTACCCAGCGACCAAGACCCTACCTCAGACCTCTTTCAAATTTACATGAGTCTTGCAAAAGTACAGGCTGCTCTCGTGCCGTACCTTAGGCGACGCTCATCGATGTTGGCAGGAAGTAGTTTATCATCTTCCCATGAAGCCGGGAAACATTGGTTGGTGAATATGCAGCAAATTCAAGAAAGGATCGAGCATGTGAGAAAACCACTTTTGATACATGTTTACTTGCACCACTGACTCATTACTTAGATCTCGCGTCCATATCCAGCCTGGAAAGGGCTAGATGCTCAATCTGAAATATCGGCTCTTCGATTCGCCCATTATTCGGTTATGATCACCATCTTCCATATCATCGAGGGTGCAGGAAACCAGTCTGTTGATATACGGAAACAGTGTTTGTTAGCAGCCCACCAAGGCATATCTTCACTAGTGTCAATATGTATATCTGCTGAAAGGCAGAGCGCCGTGGCATTGTTACATTGGTAAGTTATGTTCTGCACATGAAAATTGGAATGAGCCCTGACTAGATATCCAGGACACTTCTCGTCTACCCCATCACCGCATACTTCGTACTATTTTGCAATGCCGTTGCAACATCAGATACCGATGACTTCAAACTTATGAAAACAATTGTCGATTGCTTGACCCCCATTGAAACAACAAGCCGCCCAATTGTTCAAGTACGAACGATCTTCCGCCACTTTTTATCTCTCGCTGGAGGTGTTTTCAACGATAAGTCAAATTCGATGGTGCTAGTTCCAGATCGTCAAGTACAGCCAGTACAGTCTCAGTCGAATTCTCTGCAACATTGGATGCCTGACAGCCTATTTCCATCTTCGACGGCTGGCACCGTTCCTCTTTTTACCCCATCATCACTGGCTGGAATGGAGGATTTCTCTGAGACGCTCATTTTTCCAGAAAATGAGATGTTTATACCCTTTAGCGATCATTTTCATGATCTCGGAAATGATCCTAGCATCTGATTCATTTTTCTACTGTCTCAGCTATCTCGCACGTAGCTTCTTGGACATAAGGTATAATGAATGCATCTGCCTAAGACTTGGCATATTGGAACTCAATGCTCCTTTTTTTTATTATTAATATATGGCTCAAGTAAAATTGCCAATCACGTCCCCCTTTTAGGTGGACATGGCCTATATCTTTAGATGCTGTGGTTAACCCACAGAGCGAAATTCCAGGAGGCAATGAACGTACAAGGCCGAGCCAAACTGGGGCCTATTAGACTCTGAAGTTTGGCCAACAAGTTAAGAGTATGTAGTTAATTTATTCGACGCCCCGACATATTGGTGAAATTAGAGAGAATTTACGTAGCCAAGTTTCATCGGGCATCTATGCCGACTATAAATAACCGGTACCAAAGAACGTGTCTCAATCCGTGAGGATCTAGATATTAGATAGATTCCTTTAATGACAGATTAGTGTAGGAACATATAGCTATAATATTAAAATATCTTCAATTCCTCCATTCTCTTCAAGTTTATCACACTGTCTTTTCTGAGAACTGCCTGTCACTACTATTCTTAGTTGCAAACCTCGCCAAATTTCTTTTCAATTCGCTCTGTTCATCAATTGCTTTACTTGTTAAATTCCTCTATCAATCTGGTATCTAAAATGCTGGGGTACTTGAAGTATGCCGCTGCAGGTTTGGCCGCTGCGACTCTGGTCTCAGGCCAAACTTACAGCGAGTGCAATCCAATGAAAAGTATCTCACGCTGAATAATTCAAAATATATTACCTTCTAACATATCACAGAAACTTGCCCGGCCAATGTTGGCACAACCGAGTCGAGACACACTTTCGACTTCACCAAGAGCTCCGGGCTAGATCAGTGGACGACTACTGCCGGCAACGTCAAGACAAGCCCGAACGGCGCCGAATTTACTGTCAACAAGCAAGGCGATGCTCCCACCATTCGGACTGACTTTCACATCTTCTTCGGCGAAGTATCGGTCACCATGAAATCGGCCCCTGGCACTGGCATCGTCAGCAGTATCGTGCTTCAGTCGGATGATCTTGACGAGATTGACTGGGTAAGTCGCTAGACGCCCACTCTCTGCAACATTTATTATATCTAACCTTCTATTTATATTTCAGGAAGCCGTAGGTGGCGACACAACCCACGTCCAGACAAACTACTTCGGAAAAGGAGATACCACGACCTATGACCGCGCAACTTTTGAGTCTGTTTCGGCCCCCCAGGAGGTATTCCACACCTACAAAGTAGTCTGGACCAAAGACGCCACCACCTGGTCCGTTGATGGCAAGGTCCTCCGCACTCTCACCTCCAACGACGCACAATCCGGCACCAGATATCCCCAGACCCCCATGAACGTGCGCATCGGTATCTGGGCCGGCGGCGACCCAACCAATGCAGAGGGAACAATTCAATGGGCCGGCGGCCTGACCGATTACAGCAAGACCCCTTATACCATGTATATCAAGGACGTCACTATCGTCAACTACAACCCGGCCGAGTCTTACACCTGGTCTGACCAGAGCGGTTCTGCTGAGAGCATCAAGTTCACTGGTTCTACTAACTCGACTTCCTCGACTGTCTCGAAGCCTTCGGTTGCTGGGTCAGTTTTCACATCCTGCTCGTATGTTGTTGCTGTAGCTAACGGTCCTGAGCCTAATAGAAGCCTTATCACAGCTGCTAGCACAGCTAGACCGTCCAGCTCAAGCTCGGTTTCCCGTCCCAGTGCACCCACCTCTTCTCCGGCTTTCAATGCGGCTTCGAATTTGAGCGCCGGTAGCTTGGGCTTCGTGTCCGTCCTTGCGGTTGCGTCTGGGTTTCTTTTCTTGTAGGTTGGTTAGCTGATATTGGATTGTATCTATATATCTTCTATGTTGGCAATAAGTTGATAGATTGGCCTGTCCATTTTGCATTTCTCTTTTCTTGCACTTCAAGTTTTCTTGATTGTAACTATTTTTTATCAAACGAGTGTATCCAAATTAGGAAGGTTCTCGGAGTCACGTCACGTCATTTCGTGCTTTCCTCCTTCCGATCTCTCGCTCTTTCCACTTTCCCCTTTTCTCTTCTTCTCTTCTTCTTCCCCCTTTCCATTTTCATATTCTCCTTCTTTTCTCTTCTACACTTCATAGCCTTTCATACAGAGTCTGCATCTCCGTGATCTCCTATTTCAGAATGTTTCCCCTACAAGATCAGTAAAGAGTCTCACATGTACCAGAGTGGTACGGCGACATACCAAGGACAATAGGTAAATGGAAGTAGCTCGGATAAGGGTTGGGTCCCCCTCGATCACATCATCGAGATCCCATCACTATCTGGAATGCCCTAATGGAAACCTCGGAAGACTCGACACTATTCTCCCATCTTATGTCGAAGACAGAGACGATGGATCTCGCTATGTCCATGATAGCAAACTCCGCGAAGCATGGGGATTTTTGAGTGGAGATATTCTGAATATCGAAGAGACGACATGCGTTGCAGCATTCTTCGACAGGCACCAAATCCTTTGATATTGTCTGGCTAGAAGAGTACAATGAGCGTATGCTGAAATTGTGAAACAAGAGTCTCATCGAGATGAGGGTCAATGGTCGAGAGGTTTGACCTGCAGCCAGTCAGTAGACTGGGTGACTGCAACTTGGAAGCACATTCTGTTCGCGGAATGTGCCCATAGCATTCCGTTCCTCGAGTGCTTCTTGAAATTGTTACTCTACGTACTATCAAGCAACAAAACCCCGCAAGAAGTAGCCATCTATTTTGGCCTCGCCCTTGACTTTATTGCAATTCGGTCACAAAGATCCGAACTTGCCTGAAAGAGCAGCCCCCATATCCTAGTTAAGAACAAATTCAAGCATCTGCGTATATGATATTCCTCGATAGAGTTGCTGAAAAAAAGCACCAGTCTGACAAGGTGTTCCAGCAGAGAACCTCCGAGCAAAATCTTGATTTCCGAGTCACGAAAGCTGACTTCAATATTCTATCAACCGATAGATCTCTTAAAGGCTAAGGGTTCTACAGCCTATTGGGTCACTAGATTGAGAGCTACCTCGAAATCTGACTCGCCCCATCCCAGGAACATGTGCAACCCCCGCAGATCCATGGGCGGCCTTCAAAAAAGCACTGCCTTTCAAAGCTACGATAAATGACAAGCGCCAAAGCCCGAGCTCCTTCGGACGATTACATCTACCAATCCCCACGTCGATATTCAAGCCATCAAGCTTTAACACTGGTGTCACTATCACAATGCGGGCGAGGACATCATACAACCCTACAGACAGTATTTTCTGAGCTTTGACACCGCAACCTTGCGTTAAAGCTCTCCTCGCATCTTTCTGCTCCTCGCTGCTCCCTCCCCCGCCTCCGAGTTGAGCCGTGTCGCGCTCACGCTGGAAGATATCTGCACAATTTACACCCACCTCTACAGCAGAAATGACCATGACTAGTCTAATACAACTCTGTATATTCCATCGCAAACCGTAACGTACGTTCGAGCCATCGCGCTCTAGTCTTGTCTTCACTAACATGGATCGTGCAGAAAGTGCTACATACTACATCCGAGCAACATGATGGGAACGCAGGAATACGGATTACCCCTGCGATCTGGTGGTTTCCCGGTTGGCTACTAGCTAGCCCGAGCCAACATATGCCGTGCTCATAGCGGGTGCCCTAGATGCGATGGATGTCATACTCGACTAGAGCCGATGAGGAAGCCTCTTTAGGAATCATCATATTGTTTTCCGTTCTTTTTTTCACCACCTACCCAGAACCAGTTGGGATAGTGGATCCGCTCATCCTTTTCCTTGCGCAGGCCATGCCGATGTACATAGTGGTTGTCTATCCTGGAACTGCGATGGGGGCATGGATATCCTTGTGTAGGCCATTTCAAAATCAATCTAAATGGAAGCTGAGCAATCTGATTATCATAGAATATTCCGACACAGTCGCAATAAGATCGAAAAAAGCGTCTCAGATATTTGTGGACAAACCCCTAAAACTTACGCAGCCGTGGGTGCGTTAACCGAGGAGTTGATGGTATTCGATCGCTAAAGAAGGGCGAGACATTATCTTTCCACGTGAAATTGGGCATGACACAGCGAGGTATTAACCGAGGTTTCATTGTGAGCACAGATGAGTGTCTGAAGCAGTCAAATCACTCCGAATAGTTAAGGGGAATAATGTAAAGGTTAGAAAGAGAACTTGGTAACAGCGCGTCAGGGCTACTCTTTATAATGCCGGCATTAATATGGGCAGTGTGTCAAACAATCACATGAGGTATCGCCAGACAGCGAACTTGTTGTGAATGAAGGGAACTGCCGGCACTAACATATTACGCACGCATAGTCGACAGGGATATACAAGCAAGACGCTGTGTTGCGGCAGGTGGATTATATCGAGTGATACCCTAGATTCAACATTTGGTTTACCCTTGTCTACTTGCCGGTAATGGTCAAGATTCAGTTTTGAGGGCTGGGCGAATGGGTCCATGGTGAGATACAGTGGAAAGACACAAAATCAGGGTTCCTTAAGTACTGCATATCCGCCAAGGCTGAGCTAGTTCGAAACTACTTGCACTAAAGAAGGATTGTTCCAACAATCAGTACCCCCATTTACCACGTCATTCACTTCCACCACCATAACAGCAATGAGAGAAGACCTTGACCTCCCTGCGTTCGGGTACCTCCCATTCGATCATTTCACCCTTGTAAGCCACCACCCAGAAAACATCCATGACAGCAAGTTCATAGCTCTTCAAATATATAGGCAAACTGGGACACGGCATCCCCGCTCTCCCAAAATGAACAGAAAAGAATTCTTGTCGAGAAATGGATCGCGCTAGGAAAATACGGGCGAAACGTATCTATCTACCCACCTAATCATAGTATCATTCAACGAACATCACTAACAAACCCAGGACTACGCTCTCGCCACATTTACAGACCCAATCATTGATCGTATCCCTGCGGGGGTACCACGCGACCTCCTCTCGGAGGATGACCGCGCTCTCAGCAGCATGCTCTCCACCACGCTATGGATCCGGACCTGGTTCGGCGATCCTACAGACAAGACAAGCCAAGAAGCCGCAGACACGGCGTATGCCCGACTCCGGAAGCAAGTCTTACAGCAGGGCCTCGAAGACTACCATGTTTCCTGTATCCCTGAGGAGGTCGTCTTCGAGGACCGGGGAGAACTGAGTGCGGCTGCCCAGCGGAGCCGGGATGTTGTCGCGGGCGTTGCGGCCGGCCGTCCGGGGTCTGTACCGGAGTATCTGATTGCGGCACTGATGCACTGCCCCGATCTGTTTGAGGGGATGTCAGATGACGACTGGCGGCATTTAACGGGGGAGGAGCGGGCCGAGGAACTGGCTGAGAGTGATCGGGCACAGAATTTGCTAGTTTTTGTTGCAGATCGGAAGGCTTGTGAGGAGGGCTGGGTGCTGGCCCTGGCAGTGAATCATCGGGGGGAGATTCTTCCATTTAGGGTGCGTGAGCGGGCCAAGGAGGCGGCGCAGATTGCAGTGAGTTGGCAGGAGGGACAGCCTTTGTCGGAGATTGCGGATGAGGAGGATGAAGATGTGGAATTTTACTTGGGGGAAGGGGATGGGTGGGAGTAGCTATGAGTAGTAGGTTCCTGAATTCTCCTATGGAAGCTCCTATATGTTTTATTGTACACAAAGAACAGTGATATGGCCACCTAGGAATGATGGGCACGGTGTCTTCGGTGCTTCCCGATACTCCGAGGCGCCAGAGTTGGCTCTGTATCGTCATATGGAATATATATTTCATGCACGGGCTCATCCTCCGCAATCTCGATGCCTGCGGGAACAACTTGTTAGCAGAATGCAAGGAAACGGGGTCCCTTCAGGGATGACTCACGCTTGATGTTGAACATCTCCTCTTGAGTCGGCTTCTCGCCTCGCTTAATCTTGGCCACGGCAGCCGCATTGTCGAATACCACCGTGCATCTGGAATCACTGTCAGACAAGCCAAAGGATCCAAACGAAAGACTAAGACTTACTCGACCGTTTTCACATAGAGACCCTCCGCGGATTTCCAAAATGGGTGATCATGCGTGCCAGAAGCCCGACACAAGGCATTCTTGGTGATGGAGTACTTCCTGTTTCCCAGCGTATTCACGGCGCCAATTACATCAGCCATATCGCTCTTGTCGCCGCCCTGAGCGAGCTTGTGGTTAAAAACCTCATACGCGGAGCCGGTGACGGCGGTATCAGAATCGGAGTTGAACAGATGGTAGGTAAACTTCTTCTCGTGAACGCGACCATAGTTCCATGCTGTGTTGCGGTCCACGCGGCTGCCCAAGCCCAAGACGCCGTGCGACGCCCAGTCGATACCCCACGACTTAACGGCCGTTCTAGTCTCGTCATTCGAGTCGGTCCAGGTCACCTCCTGCGACATATAATTCAAAATGCTGTTGAACCACCCTTGCATATTTTGCTGCCAGCCCGGCACACACATCCGGCTGTTCTTGTTCGGATTCCCGCCTTCTTCCATCGCGTTCCAGGGGAACTCGTCGCAGCTCAGCCAGTTGTTATTGCCGTTGACACCAATAGCTGAGTTGGTCAACGTGGAGAGCACCCGTGAATTGTCGACGCATTCGTCCTTCCACGTGCTGGTCTTTTCCTGTTCTTCGCCATTCTCATCGATGTACGTGTACTCGTGCTGGGACTTTTCGCCGCAAACCCACTTTCGATTCTTGTCCGGGGAGCCCTTTTTGCTCATGTGGAAGGTGGCTGTGTAGGGGCCCGTTCCCAGACCTTCGTCCGTGAAGAATTTGAGCACATTACGGCAAATACCGGGAATATCTCGGTCTTGCACCCGGTGATCCGGGAAGTACCTGCAGTTATACATCACGGCGGGGATAGAGCTGATGCAGCTCTGACTAGAATCGACGTCCATTGGGTCGCCGTCATCGTCATCGGCGCGTCGAGTCAGGCTCGACGGCTTCGGCTTCCATTCGCAGGAGTCACCGTCACAACCACCGTTCTTGCATTGGCCCCCGTCATTGCAGGTGAAGAAGCCCTTGTTGAGGCCGAACGCGGCAACCTCTTCGGGAGTCTTGCGCTTATGTAGGGAACGAGGCACCAAGAGGCCAGTCGGTGCATCCCACTCATCATCCAGAAATTCGGTGGCGTTGTAGATCGGGATAAAGCGCTCTGCACCGAGAAGGTCGGGCTCGAGAGTGCTGCGCTTGGTGGTTGAGGTGGAACCATGGTGTTCCCAGAGGATCTTCTCTTTGCCTTTGCCGCTCCAGAGAGTTTTTGCTGGGAAGTCTTAGCGTCAATGCTGAGATACACTTAAAGAAATCTGCGACTTACGCTTCAATGCATACTCGCCAAGCCATTTGAAGCTACAATCACAAATGTCAGTTCTGATCAGGTCCTCCTTGGCATTGGCCCGATACTCACATCGCTCTTCCGCCGTAACCTATTCGCGTGTAAGCAAAATGATTATTTATTGTGCGAGTGCGCTGGATTACTCACCAAAGTTGTAGAAGTACTTGACGTACACGTCGTATGAAGCAGCCGGTGGGTTATCGATTCCTCCGCTGCCTCCCGCATCGACTTGGAAACGCAGTGTATTATTCACGAAGCCGACAATCTGAGCATCGAGAACCGGGCCGCCTTTGACCATGGGCGCGTTAACTTTGATCCCCAGGTTCGCCTCGGGGGTGAGCATGAGATCGATATGGACGCTTGCCTCAACACTAGCATCCAAAATGGGTACCATGTCGGTTCCAGACACACGTTTCGTGTCACTGTCATCGGGCGTGGGGAATTTTTGATAATCCTTGGCCTCATCCGATTGCGGGAAGTACATTTCGTACTTGGGGAAAGTCATTTTGGCTCCCGCTTTGAGCTTCCCAGCAATCGTGGCGCCGGCCTCCATCTGTCCATACAGATCGAGTGTGGGGCCCACGGCTGCGATGCCCTTGATCGCCAACCCGGGGTAGGAGAGTGTGTCGATGATCCTAATTCGGGGGCTGCGGTATATCATCTCGGCGCTGCCGTCGATCTCTAGTATGGCTTGTACTTCGGGATGCAGCTCGAAATACGTGTAGACGGTGTCGATGTTCAGGGGAACAATCGTGCCTTGCGCATAGTAGGCCCACCGTGCGTTCATATCAAACTTGGCATCCAGTGTCACGTCAATCCCGGCCTTGAGCGTCATGCCCTTACGTGCGCATTGCGCCCGTCGGCTGTAGAGGAGCATCTTCTTGTGGATGGACAGCGGCAGCTTGCCTTCGTCGGACGTGCGCACAGTGGTCAGCTTCTTCAGCCACTCGGTGTAGGTCCCCCACCAGCGCTTCTCCCGGCGGAGCTCTCGTTTGCTCTTCGAACCGGCATCTGACTCCTCCCCGGTCATCTCATCCCAGTACGGAACGAGGTTTGTATAGTCGATGCGCAGATTGACTCTGGAGTCCGCGCGGCGGATGAGCTCAAACCGGTAGTCGATGGTCAAGTTGTACACGGCCGAGTCGTGACCGTCCAGGGACCGTTTTGTCTTGTGGAAGTCGGAGAGACTGGATGATTTCACTGCCTCCATGGAGACAATCCGTGCGTACGGACCGGATCCAATGTGGGCTGGCAGCCCGATAATTGTATCATAGGCGCCGCCTTGGAAGACCCGCTGGCAGTTGTCCTCCCGGCCCTTGCGGCAATACACGAGATGATGCGACTCTTCGTGCTCAAAGACCCAGTCCATCAGGTTGGGGTCATCACGCGAAAGGGTCTCGCGCTTTTTGATCGGCTTCCCGGTGCCGTCTTCGGCGTGCGTGAATTCGAAATTGCTGGGGAATTCCCCCTGTAGCGCATCTTCATCCCCGTCCAGGACAATGAATCCGTACGGATCGTCACCGACGTCCGTCTCATCGGGCCCATGGGGGTCGCGATTGTTGTTACCGTAGTTGTCCGTATAACGATAGCCGACGTCTTCGCCGATGGGATTGGGGAATATCTTCTTCAAATCGAATGGAAGGTCCCGATCTGGATCCGGGTCACAGCATAGCCGATGCTGGAGGCCCGGATACGCCCAATCGCAAGGACCTCGCTTCCCAGCCGATCGGTTTGGTAGCTTGGCCTTGGACGCGGTGAACTGCGTGGATGGGCAGAAGCGTTTTGAGCACTCTTGTGCTGTCGGTAAGGTGATCAGGTTCGGTCCATCGCCGTCTCCACTGGTGAATTTTTCCACAGCAGGCACCCAATCGCAGTTATTCAGCTTCGAGTCCACTTTGCAGCAAAAGTTCTGGAAGGACCCTTCCTTGCAGTAATCGCCCCTCGTTGCGATTGGCTGCGAGTAGCCTGTCGAGCAGGTTCCAAACACCGTGCACGGAGACCAATGGCAGTCTTGCATCTCCGGCGCTTGATCACAGCAAAATGAGACCAAGCCACTCGAACACTTGGTCTCTCCAAGCTCATCGGCATACCGGTCTGTCAGAAGCTCATATTGCCCCGTCCCGCAAGTACTCTCGCCTTCGCCTCCGGTGCACTTGGAGCCGCTATCAGGTCTCCCGACCCAGCGACAATTAATCGCCGGCGTCTTGGCTGGGCAGCAGATCCGCTTCCAAGTCCCTTTCGCACAGGTCTGCGCGTTGTGAGACATGGCACCGTACAAGTTCTGGAGGGACTCGCCCGGCGCATGCACCATGCCAACTGTTACATCGCCCGATCGACAATCCGGGTTTCCCTCAATGGTGGGAGCGGCCCCAAAACAGCCAGTAGGCACGTAGCACGCATCGCCCGTCAGTCCACCCATCTCGTTTACCAGATCTTCTTTCTCGTCGTCGCTCAATTCGCCTCCTTCCAGGAGCGCGTCGCTGACAAATTCGTCGCCAAGGAGACCGGCCAACGCCTGGAAATCGGGCGTATCCTGGTCGATGGCCCAGATCATGACGCCGCCAAAGCACTCGTCGTCAAGCATTTTCCGTTTGACTGCAAAACTTTCGGCGTCGTCGTACGTGATCCACTGGGTTTCGTCATACACCATATACTTCACGCTCGTTTTATTGTCAAAATACTCGTGCTTTTCGTTGAGGCGATGTTTCCGGGCCATGATCTCTGTTTAAGTATATACAGGTTAATGAGGGACGGTCGTTTCATGCTGGAATGGAGTCGACTTACCTTTGAATGTGAGAATTCCTTCTTCACCGGAGCATTCGCCCCGGACACCGGCATCAGCGAAAACACAGCCGGGCTCGCTGCATTTCGGATCATCCAGCGTGAACGTTCTCCCGTAGAATCCCATTCCCAGGCTGACTTTGTAAAGATTTACGTTGTTTCGTCGCAGGAGGTCAACCCCTTGCTCGATTTCGGTGATATTTGTATGTCCAAATACATAGGGGCCGGTCCATTCGTTGAACTGGTCCCATTTGCCACGCATATCGTAACTGCATGAGCGATTAGCAACCGATGCCTCATGGACAATGGCCGTGGCTGCCTCTGAAAAGAAAAGCCTACCTCATGAGATTGAACCAGCTGACCTCTTTCTGCAACGCAGCAATATCAAAATGCTGCAGGTACCAGTAACTAGCCGGAATTGCCATGGATATACCCCATATCTCATTACGCTTGGTGAAACTGGCTCGCATTTCCTGGACAAGCGTTACATAGTTCTTGTAATCGGCGTCCTTTCCGCCGCGGTCATCTGAACGAGATGTTAGTAGGAATTATATAAGAAAGCCATTCACAGTATCTTTCGGCAGTACGTACCAGCCACTGGGTACTCCCAATCCAGATCCACACCATCGAGGTCGAACGTCTCTAGGAGATCCATCAGACTGTTGATAAATTTTGTGCGGGTCTCCTTTGACGACGCCATGTCCGACCACGCCGTTCGTGTCGGGCCTGTAAACAACTATCAGTCAACGCAACTTCAACCTCATGCAGCACGTCGACCAAGCCACTTACCTGGATCGCTGAAAGCCCACCCCCCAACCGCAATAAACACCTGTAGCGACCGATTCCGGCGCTTCAGCTTCACAATTCGCGAGATCATATCCGTGCTGCTAATTGTGACCCGCGAATCCTTTATGCCCCCGAACGCAATATTCAAGTGCGTGAGCGCCTTGACGGGGATATTCTCCGGCCGGAACGCATCGCAAGTGCGGTTATCCGCCCAGGTTTCATAGTAGGCAATTCGGCGCTGCTTCCACCGCTCGTTGGAGCACTTCTGGCGATCGGGCTGACCGCAATTGCTCTGGCAACTCTTTTCCTCGTCATCGGTTTCCAGACAGAACTCTTCGGTGGTCCCACAGAATCCCCAGCGACTGCAGCAGACATTCAGTGGACATTTCTTGTCATTACCGTACTGGCCGCACTCGGCGACGGCTTTACAATTGCTGATGCAGTTCTCGTCACTGCACCAGTCCGGGCCGAAGCCGCAGCTGCCGGACTTGGAACAGCACCCTACTTTACATGGGGTCTCAGAGTCGCAGACGGCGTCTTGCTGAGCGAGAACGGACAAGGAAAAAGAGAGGAGAAGTATAAGAAAGGAAAAGAGCTTGGTGAAAGAATGTGGTTGATGCATTGCGACGACGTGCCGGGGCACACCTCGACCATGCTATGACAGAACAGAGGAAAGCAAAAGAATGACAGAGTCAAGTAGGCTCGCTCAAGTCAAATGAGGGTGATCCAATGGAACGAGAAAATGAAGCAGACGGACAAGAGGGCAGATAGACCGCAAGACATATCCAGTCCTGTATAGGGACGCATCTCCTCGGCAAGAGACATCCGGACCCCCATATCCATTGGATAATCTCCGCTGCAGATGGCCTACCCCGTCGAATTATCCGATCAGGGTTGTACTACTAACAATCTCCATTTTGGCAATGGTATGAGGCCATGTCTGGCCTTGGGTGGAGATCGTCCGCACGGGGCGTTTTCCGTGCCGAGGGCTGAGTGGAGGGTATCTCAATGGTGCATGTAACGTGGGGGCTGTTAGAGGCGTTCTGCACATGTCCTTCAGGGTCCGGTTAGGATCATGAAGAGAGCGCCAAGGAGGAGGGAAATGAGAGCTGAAATTTCGAGAGGAGATATATCTTGTTCGGGGTTAGTGTATTTATCTTCATGCAGGACAAGGTTTAAACGCTAGTCTGATCCGCCTGATGCCAAGCCCCGTCGCCAACGAGAGGCATGGCCAGATGCTTGGCTAGTGTGTCCATCTCTCGGCATCAATTTGACGACCCTGCAGTGGTCAAACATTTGATTTACATTTGCCCCGAAGCGATGTCACGTCAGGGGAGTATGATTCAGGGGAAATGAATGGCCTTCAGCCGGCTCCATCGATACCCTTGTTGCTCGGAGCCTGGATGGCCTCGGCTTGGCAATGAAGTACACCCTCTGACTGTTCCCCTTGGTTGACATCTCTCCTGGAGTCTTGAAATGCTTCAATTCTCTCCTTGTGGGACCAACGCTGTCAGTGTGTGCCGCAAGATGCGGTTCCTAGTGATTCTTACTTGCCTCGCAAGCTATGTGTGCGCCCTCTCCGTCGTGCCCAGTTTGGCGCATATTCCAGCTGGCGTGCGAGCATCATGCCGGACGACTCTAGCCAAGAATATCACCCAGTGCTCAAACGAGTTCGAGAAAGAGCTACAGTTCATTCCGTCTGCCTCGTTGGCTCAAATTTGCACCACCGAATGCAGCGGCGCGCTGTCCTCCCTCTACACGGAGGCGATGTCGCGATGCGGGACCGATTCGGTGGATGTTATGGCCAACGACACGGTGTTGGCCACCTTCACACCGATCGACGTGGTAGGGCACCTTCGATACATCTACAACTCTACTTGTCTTCAAGATAAGCATCCATCCTCTCCCATCTTTGGTCCACGAGAGAAAGCTGACGTTTCTTTTACGCGACGGGGGTTTCTGCAAAGACAAGCTCGAAGATGTCACTGAAGAGGAGCTGTGCTCGGAATGTTACATGAAATCAGTGCAGCTCGAGATCAACCAGCCGGGAGAAGACCCGGCGTACCACCAGGATGACTTCGATGCTTTGAAGAAATCTTGTGGCATCCCCACGACCTCCTATCCGGTTACGCCGGCGCCGACAGGTACTCCGCCTGCCGAAACGTAAGTGTTGTCATCTCTCTACTCGACAATTGTGCAGGAGCCTCACATTCGCATAGTCCAGTCTGTGCGAGCAAGTACACTGTTAAAGCCGGTGACACTGCCAATACCATTGCCAAAGCCCTCTCTGTCGCAACCGATCGGCTTTTGGCATACAATGGCCTGCCCATCAGTTCCGAGGAGCCGTTGACGGCAGGAGACACACTCTGTCTCGATGAAGTGTCTAAGTGCCTGATCCACCAGGTCATGGCGGAGGACACCTGTTCCTCATTGATGAAGTTGGCCGGGTCATCGGTGGACGAACTGATGCTGCAATCATGGAATCCTACCATTGGGACCAAGTGCAAAAACATCAAAACAATGACCGGAAAATACATCTGCATTGGGCCCCCGGGGCAGACCAGCACCTTCACCCCCGTGAATCCCCCCACCACATCGACGCCAGCGACGACCCCCACGGACACATACACCTGGGAGCCGGCGCCCGACTCCATCACGAGCACCGTCAACATGACGACCATCTGGGCCTTCCCCACGGAGGTTGCGATCGCCACGCTCACGGCCGAAGATCCCGACCCGGCCGAAGCAACCGCCCTCTTGGAACGGTCGAAGTTCTGCCCGTTCAACGACGAGAATGAGGACGAGTGGGATGAAGGCCTCGAGGATGAGGAGTACCACCTGCACTCATGGGACCTGGACACTAGTTGCATCCACGACCACTGGGATCCCTACTGCTACCCCAACCTCTCCGACTCTGTCCTCCCCAGTCCGACCGACATCCCGTCATCCTGCTATCCCACCATCACTACAATCATTCCAGACGGCTGGGTTGACCCCCCTGGGCCGACTGAATCGGGCGTCCCCGACACTTGCAATAAGTGGCATCTGCTCAAGAACGGGGATACCTGTGCCGCCATCGCGGCCAAGTACAAGATCACGCTCAGCCAGTTTTACAAGTACAACCCCAGCATCAATGCGCAATGCTCGAATACGCGCGCAGCTTTTGCCGTCTGTGTGCGTATCTGGGAAGAGCCCGAGGCCCCGACGCCGACGAGCGTGGGGCCGCCTGGTCCTACGGGCACTGGGACGAGTCCGACATGCGTGAAGTGGCATCTTTGGGCCAAGGGGGATACTTGTGACTCTATCGCGGCCAAATATGGAATTTTGGTCAGTCGGTTCCGGCAACTCAACCGCAGTGTCAACTCGGCGTGCGATAATGCGGTGGTGGGCAATGCGTATTGTGTGGGGTAGTGGATACTTTGGGGTATCGATCACTAATCCAGGAAGCTTGATATCTTTCTACATACTGGTATTCTTGCCGTTTACTGTGCATCTGTATCACTATTCTACACTATGAAGTTGAGAAATTCGCTTTGTTGTTTACATGGATGTCCCCCGCAGTAGTTGTCAGTACATTCGAATAGACGTCTTCGCCCAATAAAGTAGCAAATGCCACCAATCGTGTACGTTCGTCTGATCCTGCAATATACGAGCTCAATCTTCGAGTTCAATCAAATTGAATAGGGTTCAATCGCCAGTCAGCTATCTTCTAGTCAGCTATCCTCACGTCGACTTCCCCGACGTTACATCAAGTCGACTCCAATCCGCTTCGCTTCGGTCAGACCTAGTCTTCCACGAAGCTAACGGCATCATCCCAGTCCAACCTAGGCACCCCTCTCGCCACTTCCAATTTCATATCTCCAATAGCAGCCTATCCAGAACCAACAACTCAAGGTGGCAGCCTTCGGAACAAACATTTAGCCTGCATTAGCCCACCGCTAACAGCTTCCCCTGCATGAAGTCTGCATGAGGGGCTACTACCCTACAATGGCGCCAAGAACGGACCCCAAAAGCCAGGCAGAGGCTAAGCTGGGATTTTAAATAAAAAAACCAAGTTTTGTCCACATCAAGCGGGCTTGGCCTGCATATCCATTGTTTGGATAGGATCGGACGAGGTAGGTGAGATTTAAGCACGTCGTGTTCGGCAGGACCGGAGATTACATTTATCGCATGACCTGAAAATTTTCTCTAGTTGCATACTGAGAGTGGGGAGGGAGTATAAGTATGAGTCCTATCAGGACGGGGATCAACCCTACCAATACAGCAGCCTGACAAGGGAAGGAACTTCACCGCAGTTCCAAGCAAGATGGTCGGCAAGATCCATGTGGCCCTTGTTGGCTTCTTCGGCGTGACCGGCGCTCTGGGTGCCACGCGATGGAATCTGCGTAGAGACGAGACACCGTCGATGCCCTACGACCCCGACACGACCTCGTACTGTACCTGGTGGTGGGACAATGATGGCTCCGTTGCGTGCAAGGATATCCCATCTGCTTGGGGCATCACGTTGGCCGACTTCCGGCGATGGGTAAGTTCTACCACTCTACACGAAATGAATACACCGACTGACTGGCTCTCAGAATCCCTCTATCACGGAGGCGTGCGGGAACTTGCTGGCGGATCACTCCTACTGTGTCGAGGCCTTTGGGGAACCAGCCCCGACGACATCAGCGCCCACTACCACCACCACGGCTGGTGCGCCAGGTCCAACTCAACCAGGTCAGATTGACACATGCAACCGCTGGGATCTGGTAGAGTCTGGAAACACCTGTGATACCTTCACCAACAAGTATCCCGGTCTGACACGCCAGCTGCTGGTGGAGTGGAACTCCGAGATTGGCGCCCAGTGCCAGTATCTCTGGGTGGACTACTATGTGCGCATCCCCTTCTACCAAATCCTCTTCCTTCGACTAACCCTGACAGATCTGTACGGGAATCAAAGGATGGACGCCCACGGGCACAACCTCTGGCACCACGCCCACTGCCACCAACGGCATTCCCACTCCCAGCCCCATCCAGCCCGGCATGATCGAGACCTGCAACAAGTTCCACCTTGTCTCGTCGGGCGATGACTGCGGTACCATCGCCTCGAAGTACGGCATCTCGCGTGCCGACTTCCTCGCGTGGAACTCGGGCGTGGGCGCCGGCTGCGGCTCGCTCTGGCTGGACTACTATGTCTGCGTGTCCATCGTGGGCTCAACACCCTCCACCACCACCAGTCCGACCAGTCCGACCAATGGCGTCACAACCCCAACCCCTATTCGCCCAGGCATGGTCGCCAATTGCGATAAGTTTCACATGGTCGTCGAAGGCGACGAGTGCCGCGCCCTCGCCAACACCAACGGCATCACGCTCGACCAGCTCGTGACCTGGAACCCAGAAGTAAAGACTGACTGCAGCGGCCTCTGGCTGGGCTATTACATCTGCGTGAAAGCCATTGGCGTAACCCCCACCGCAACGACCACGACTGGCCCCACACAGCCAACCAACGGCATCGCAACCCCAACCCCCATCCTCCCGGGTATGGTCGCTAACTGCGACAAGTTCCATATGGTCGTTGACGGCGACCAATGCGGTAACATCGCGCAGAAGTACGGCATCAGCCAGAGCCAGTTCTCAAAGTGGAACCCGCAGATCGGCTCCGGCTGCTCAGGTCTCTGGTTGGGGTACTATGTCTGTGTGAAGACGATCGGCACAACCCCCACCATCACTACCACCACCACGACCGTCGGAAACGGCATTACCACCCCGACGCCAACCCGGCCGGGTATCGTGGGCAACTGCGACGCCTTCCACAAGGTTAAGTCGGGCGATACGTGTGACGCCCTCGCGGGCAAGTACGGCATCACCACCAATCAGCTGTACACGTGGAACACGCAAATTGGCACCAACTGCGGCGGCCTGTGGGTGGATTATTATATCTGTGTGAGCATTGTGGGGGTGAACCCTAAGCCGACCACAACGACCACGACGACCACGACGCAGGGTAATGGCGTCGCAACGCCGACGCCCATCCAGACTGGTATGACGGGTAGCTGTAACAAGTTTTATAAGGTGGTGAGTGGGGATAGTTGTGAGACGATCGCAAAGAAGGCGGGTGTCACGCTGGCGAACTTCTATGCGTGGAATAAGGGGGTTGGCAGCAGCTGTCAGACACTGTGGCTGGGATACTATGTGTGTACCGGGGTGAAATAAGGGTGATTAGGTACATAATAGAAGATCGAGTCATGCAGGCCTGTACTTGGATAGATAGGTTTTAGTGAGAATGATTGAAAACGCCTTTTTTGTGTATACACCAGCATCCATGGATGTCTATACGAGCAGGGATCTAGGAGCTACCTACTACAACCCCTTTAAGGGAAGAGGATCATAGTGATTTCTGTATAGTTAGGGCATTTAACTCATTCTTAGAATCCTATGTCGCTCCTAGGTCCTAGATAGCTCCCCGGATTGAGACAGATTTCTCTCTCCTTCCTCTTCTCTTTCCCCCAGCGAAAAGAGACCTTCGGACAAAAGTGCATCTTCAAAGAGTCAAAGTACCGTCCACGTATTCGAAAACCCCAAACCAGCTCAGCTTTCATCGTCTCCCAGAGTTTTTCTAAAGGTGCTCAGGAGTTTAAAATTCACAGCGCTTTGTCTTCCCCGGGGGAAATAAGTCAACAAGATCTAGGTCTAGCAATTCTTGTTGCTGTTCTGCTTTGGCGTATGGTAGAAATCTACAGAGTTCCCTCGATGGGATAGAGATATATTGATCGAAGTCAGTGTGCCATTGTGATACGCTGATGGGGGTGAAGTCCCTAAGCGACAGTCGGAATGCTGGTTCCTCGACTAGAAGTCCAGATTCTATTCGAAAAGGCCGTTTCGGTATCTACTTCCCCTAATACCTGCAGCTGAAAGGACATATACCAGCGCTTCGACTTTAGCGATCGCGTAAAGTTCATCCACACCATCCACAATTATATCCTCTGGTCGCTAGATGGTTATAGTCACTTGTTTAGACCCGCTATACTCAATGTTGAGGGCAATCACCCCTTTCATGTTCCCATTGGTATCTAGAATATAATCGTCCGCTGGGTCCGCTGCAGCTTGGATCTTTGTGAATAACGCACTTCTAGGATAACACCGGGGTGTTTTGCCTCCATGTACAGAATGATGTATCCGGGCTCCGTCCGTAACGAGCCCGCTCTCCATTTATTTCGTTTGGTAGCCGAATTCAGGTAGTGGATTTTCTACCTTCGCAAAATCCGCGAAGGGTTTATCGCCTTGTGAATCCTCAATTGGGCTAACATTTCAGAAACCACTTTAGCACAGAATATATCATGGAGAGTCGGCATTCGGATAGTCACGGACCGGTAAGGGTCGTAGTCGAGCCTAAGATAAAATTAAACAAAATTGCCTCTGATACACCTAAACATGGGTAGTACTTACTCACCTTACTTTGTCTTCCACGTAACCTCGAAGAGATATGTCCCCATCTAGCACATGCAAAGTCTCTTGATAATCCTCCGGACTGAGTCGGTGCTGCCACCACGACTGTGGTGGCCATTGACCTCCCCGATGGAGCTCCAAACAGTCCAGTCCTGCCCAATGATTTTGTGTCGGCCTAGTCGTTATAGATTCGCCACCTTTTTATTTATATTACTTCTTTAATTCTAAACATATCTACGGATAAGGATATCTGCGTAGAAGGGAGGAGATAATTGTAACGGATAAAGGTTCTTATAATATAGAGATAGAGTTATATAACTAAGTCGATATACTCTCGAGGACGAATCGCTAAGGAATCAATATATAGCCCTCAAAAAGAAAGAGGAAGGAGAAAGGAGAAAGGAGGGAAATGTGACACAGAGCGCATATACAAGTGAGAGAGCGACTCGATGCGGAGAAGGGGAAGGATGTATGGGTTTCGTTCTGTACAAGGCTGTAGCCAGTAGAAGTTTGAGATGGGCGAAGGAAAGAAATATCTGGGGATAGATGTGCATATATCCACACATGCGAGTTTCATGTCCAACCTGAGATTGGGACTTATATTCCCCAGATTATAATTCCTTTTCAAAATGTCATCACCAACCAAAGATCTCACCAACACTTAGAGTACTCCAGCGCACACCGCCGACAGCAACGATCATCAAGACAACATCAACAACAGCCAGCACCACCGAGCCCATCATGAAGCGAGGGCTGAAGATACGGTAGAGCATGAGATGGCGTCGGAGATGGCCGGCCCACATAGAAGTAGCGAGATTAATAGTCGCCAAGTAGAGGATATGTGTTCCAGCTGCCTGTACGACATCGGAGAGGATGCGTGTGGCGGGGTTCTTGTTCGGGTTTGAAGCAGGGACACGGTCGTGAGTCTGGAGGGGGCGTTTCCAGAGGACGGTGAGGGGGACGGCGATGGCGGCCAAGATCTGGGCGCCGAAGGTATTGAGGATGACGAATAGTGGGGACCAGGGGTATTGGATTGTTGCGAGAGGGATAAAGGCTGTTTCCCACTGGATGCTGGAGAGGGTGGCCTGGTGGCCTGTTTTGAAGTAGTAGAAAGAGCCGAGGAGGCCGAGGATGACGGGACCGATGGAGGAGTTTGTCATGGTTAGGCTGTTTGTGTCGAGGATTTCGAGGAGAGAGAGAATTTGCCAGAGGAGGAGGGCGATGGCGCCTTGGCCCATTGGCTTTTGCATGAGGATGATGGCGAGGGCGAAGTTGAGGAGTAGGAAGCAGAAGTGGGTTCCGTAGACGTTTCCAAAGCCGAGGATTGTAACCGTTGTTCGTGGGCCTTGTTGCTGGCCGGCGACTATAGGAGCCGGTGGGCTGTTGGGATCTTCGGTTGGTTTGTTCACGTTGATGCTGACGCAGGGCTTCGAGTAGAAGTATGCTGTAGTGCCTGCTACGAACGCGAGGGCGAGGACGAACTGGGCTAGGAAGATGCGGACGAACTTGAGGGTTTCGTTGCTTACGGGTAGCCACTCGCCGTCGTCGGCAGCTTCGAGGATCCAGAATAGGGAGGTGACGAAGAGACCGAAGCGGAAAGCAAAGCCGATCCATAGCGATGCGGCGCCTTCATAGGACTTGGAGCCGGCGTAGAAGGACCGTACGACGCTGGGCAGGAAGAGGGTGACCAGGAAAGGAATGGCAAGCTGCCAGGGAGCGGAGGTGGAAGAAGTCGACGAGGCGTAGTACGTGGAGCGACAGAAGGGCATCTGTTCTTCGCGGCAGAGACGGGAGAAAGACGCGATTCGGCCCAGGATCACGAACAGAATAGAGTGGTATACACCCAAGATGCGGTCAGTGGTCTGCTTCTGTCGCATGGACGAGACACCCGCGCACACGCCGAATGTAGTGAGGAAGAACAGAAGGATTTCATCTTCCCAGATGGTGTACGAGTTTGAGGAAAATCCAATAGATTGAGAAACGGTAAAGAAAAGCGCAAGCCATCCCCACATGCCGCTCGGAAGAGGCATGGTCAGGTTCGCAGGCTTATTGACAAGAGCCGGCGTGGCTCCAAGGACGCTTCCAGCAGCAGCTAGCAGCACGGCTCCATCAAACATAGACATCTCAGTCAGGCCAGTCAAGCCAAAAGCAGAACCGGCCACTGCACCAACACCAGCACCCACGCTTGCGAATTGAAGCAAACGAGACGTGAGTTGGGTTCGATCTGTCTTCAAGCCTCGGGCATAGATGATCAACAAGACAATACTAGTGAAAAGAATCACAACACCTTGGATCATGCTTGGCACATCGAATCGAGCCCACAATCCACGGCAGATATCAAGAGTGTGACGCTGGTACTTGCGGTAGAGTTCATTGCTAGCGCGAGCGGCGGTCGACTTGGGCGAGAAGCCCTTGGAAGCAGACTTCCACTCTTCTTCTGCAGCAGTCCAAAGCAAAGCCGACTCTTCATCATCACCAGCACCTCTAGCAAGCGCATATTGGTGCTGATATCTCTTTACCTGGGCGGCAGTCAATCGGTTGACAGTCGCCAGGTTTGCCCAGTTATTCCCACGTGCGCCAGAGAAAGCCTCTTCAATGGGCGAGCCTAGGTTATTGAATGGGATCGGCATTCCAAGGAGCAAAGACAGCGTCGGAACGAGGTCGATCTGAGGTACGGACCTGTCGCGCGCGAATTGGGGCGGGAGGAGCGTATCTTTGCTTGTACGTCCAAAGATGCCACGCTTGGAATACATCCACAATGCGGCCTCAATCTCGTCATCAGACTCGCCGCCGTGGTCACCCTTAATGTCCATCCCATGATCTCCCATGACGACCAGAAGAGTCTTATCATCGATCGCATCAATGATATCGCGAACAACCCGGTCCATTTCCTGGAGCTTGGATGCCATGGCAGCATGGTTAGGACCATACCGATGACCTGCATGATCTACGCCGAGATAATGGCCAAAGATAACATCCCATTTCTTGCTGTTCTCCGGCCGGAGGAGCGGGAAGAGATGCTCCGTGACGCCATTGTCGACAGTGTGCAAGTCCCAGACATTGAACGAGTCATACGCATGAGTGAGGTTGGTATCAAAGTAGCCCGGGAACAGCGCCTGCCAGGTATCATCGCCGAGGTGAACCAGATTCTTCCCGGCGGTATGCAACTGCGCGACAAGATTGTCCTCATCGATGGCGGTTCCGGCAAAGTTGGAGCCTGCTTCCAAGAACGTGGGCAGGGTTCCGGTGGTCAGGCCTTTCAGGCGGTTCAGAGTGGTTGTCGGGGGATCCGCAATGAATGGCAGGAGGAAGGCGTTGGCGGGGTTTTGCACTGCGGTCTCGTAGAGGACAGGGATGTTGTTGTGGAAGAGGTGGACTGGGTCACTCTCTCCTTTCGAGGCGAATGGCACAGTGAAGTCATAGCGGAGGGCGTCGATTATAATAACAACGGCCTTGTCAAAGGTTTTCTCGTGCCAGCAGCCTTTCTGCTGTTTACTCCCCAGAGCTGTAGTGTGTGGTTTGGCCAAAATGTCGTCGAAAGGCAGTACGTCGCATGATGACTTGTCCTCAAGGACCATGCGCGTGAGGAGGAACCCTTTTGTGAACATATAAATACCGGCGACATGCAAGAGTCTGTCATTTATCCAGCGTCAGTTCAAATTCATTTTACAACACGTCAAGCCTACAGCGGGCGTTGAACCTAAGGCTCTGCTAGGTTCGAGAAGGAATCACTCACAATATCCACGCTAGAACACCCATCACACCAAAATGCTTGGCCTTGAACTCATTCTCAAGCTCCAGCGACTTCTTCTCCAACAGAGCAGCTTGCTTCCGCTTCTGCCCGTCAGACGACTGATCGGAGCTGCGAGGGGCGGCAGCTGGAAGACCGCTTTTAGAGCCGTTAGGGTTTGGACTAGTCCCCGTAGTCCCTGCATGTGATGTGGCTACCATTTCCGCGGTCTATTGTATGGTCTCAGGTCGAGGTCGGGGGGAGCTGGCGCGCCAGGTCGCAGATCTGGCTGCTAGAGGCCGAAGGGGCACTGGGGGGACCGTGAATGATGAACACGGTGTGTTTTTCAGGGGCAGGGAAGCCGGGAGCAAGCACAATTGAGCCGGTTGAGCCGGTTCAAGCGAGATCCATCGAAGTCGGAGAAAAAGTATAGGCGGGGCGGAGGAGGTTGCGGAGGTCTGTACCCCTTTCTGTGCTCTGTCGAACGGCTTCCCTATGTATGAATAAGCTATAACATGCACATTGTTTGAAGGAACAATGTATACAAAGCCCAATTAGGAAGAAATGTGTTTAAGAAAAGAAATTAATTCGAATTTATGTGACAGTCGCGGAACCCACGGGTTGGGGAGCTCGGCATCGGTGTTTCTGATTGGCCGGCTGTGGATACTCAGTGTCATCCTCAAAATATAGGGAATTGGTATAAGACTAGTTGGTCGAAATAGCCAGGGTTTCGTTATATCCATGACCTCTTTTGTCTTTCGTACCCCACGTGGCTCGATATAGCTGAATATCCGTACACCGTCACACTTATATTCCCTACTATCTTTGAGCGAAACAACATCTCTAGTCTCGCCAACTCACAAATACCTCGTCTATCCGGAACCTTTGAATGCAGATAGATTTCTTCAGTGGAGTCCGGAAGCCCGTTTCATACGCCATCATACCCGCCTGGACAATCATGATTGCATTATCAATGCAATATCGCTCATCCGCGCGGCAACAGCTATGATCTGCAGCGGGGGACCCATCCCAGGGTCTTTGGTGAAGCAGATACAGTCCACGTCTTGCGGCGACAAGCGTACTTCTTGAAGAGCCGCCTTCACAATATTGACAATCTATGACCGGTGGTGGCGCATCCTTAGATAGGAAGCCCTCGCTTGGTGAGACATTGTAGGTGCTAGATGTCAGTACGGAGTAGTAAGTTAAGATTTACCGATTGGGATGGTCCATCGCTCAATATGGCAATTGTGGGGGTGCTTAGGGTGTGATCAGTTTTACTCAAGTGAGCAAAAAGCGGCAAGAGGTAAGCACTAAAAGGGAACAGGCAATCCGTAGGCACACCGGCTAGTATACACACAGAAAAAGCAAAAAAAAAAAGACATTTGAAAAAAAGCATAGATTTCAGATTTGCGTAAATGAACATAGAAGGACTAAGTACATACATTATCCAGCTGCCGAGTACCGGAA